CCGGGCGGGACTCTGGTGCCGTAGCAGGGACATAGGCAGCACTGGTAGGGACCATGGCCAGCTTCCTAGCCGCGGCGCTGATGTCCACCCGCGGCGGACTGTCGCCTCCAGCGCCCGAGGCTTCAGGGACTAGCTCGGAGTCCTCTTCTTCTTCCTCCTCATCCTCGTCCTCGTCTTCGACGTCATGGAGGAACTTCATGACTTTTCGCCAGACGGCTGCCAGTCTCCCTACGCCACTTAAGCCAAGCGACGTAGCTCATCCGCTCGGGACAAGGAGGGTGACGCCCTCGGCCTGACCTGCGACCTCGGACATTGCCGCGCCTTGGTAAACAGGCCGCAGGCGTGGCACGCGAAGCGCCGCGCCTTGGTTAACAGGCCGCAAGCGTGGCACACAGTCCACGCGTCCAGGTCACGGACCGCGACAGACAAGCAAAGCAATGCTTGCCCACTCGGGCCGTATGCACAAGAGCTGTACGTTTCCCAGAACAGCCCCCAATTGTGAAGTCGACCAGCACTGGACTTGCACTAAGCCAATGCAATCACAGCCCGGTCACGCTGTTTTATGACTTCGCGAGTTCAAGCACTTGTGCAGCTACGCCTGAGTGCGTCCGGTCGGACCGCACAGCAACCTAAGAGCTACTGTACGACTCTACCGTGCTCAAAGGCACAAGCTCGGCACTTGAGCCAAAATTGGCATTGAAACGAATTGCAAACCTACACATGCAAAGAAGACTACAGTACTGGTCCTGGCAGCTCTGCACATGCAACGTGCGTGCTTAGACCTGCTCACAAGCAGTAGTAGTAGTAGCAGTAGCAGTAGTAGTAGTAGTAGTAGTAGTAGTAGTAGTAGTAGTAGTAGTAGTAGTAGTAGTAGTAGTAGTAGTAGTAGTAGTAGTAGTAGTAGTAGTAGTAGTAGTAGTAATCATAGCAGTAGTAGTAGTAATAGTAGTAGTAGTAGTAGTAGTAGTAGTAGTAGTAGTAGTAGTAGTAGTAGTAGTAGTAGTAGTAGTAGTAGTCAGTAGTAGTAGTAGTAGTAGTAGTAGTAGTAGTAGTAGTAGTAGTAGTAGTAGTAGTAGTAGTAGTAGTAGTAGTAGTAGTAGTAGTAGTAGTAGTAGTAGTAGTAGTAGTAGTATCGCCCGCAATGAGCAGAGCCCGCTCGCTCAGCGTTCAATAAAAATAGTAATAGTAGTAGTAGTAGTAGTAGTAGTAGTAGTAGTAGTAGTAGTAGTAGTAGTAGTAGTAGTAGTAGTAGTAGTAGTAGTAGTAGTAGTAGTAGTAGTAGTAGTAGTAGTAGTAGTAGTAGTAGTAGTAGTAGTATAGCGCAAAACTGTTTTGATTTGGTTTGCATTATTTTTGTATGTTTTCCTGACCTCTTCTCTGGCTCTTTGTTTGTCTTTGATTTTGCTTTTGTATGTTTTCTGAATATTTGTTGTTCTATAGTGTTGTGAATCGTTTGACCTTTGCGGCTTCTATATAGTTGTGTGGCGGCTTCTAGAGACCGGAGGTTTTGGTTTACTTTGTTATGCTGCATCTGAGACGTCGAGCCATTTTCATGGATTTTGCAACTGATGGATTCTGCAACTGTAAGGTCTCTGTTCTGCTTCTTGCACAATTTTTTCTCGGAGGCTACAGACATAGCGGGAGAGTGCTTCGCACCCCCATTTTACCGTTAGGCAAAAATCCAAGTAGGATAGGGTTGACCACAAGTGCCCTCCAGACTTCAAACGATCTCTTAGGTATTCTAGCTGTCTTAAGGATCCTGTTTAAAGGAATAAAGCTTGTTTGAAGACTTTGTCGTGAAATGGATTCAAGTTGTAAACTGTTTGAGGTCGAACTGATCCGCTTGCTCAGAGCGAAGAAAAGGCGAAGGCCTCTGAGAATGTGCTTTGGAGAACAGCAGCGCAATTGTTGGAAACGGAACCCTGGGTTCCAACCTCTTGAAGTGGAACGCCGGTAAATATTTTGAACTGTGACTGTCTACTCCGGGGTGCAGGTCTGGTCGGTGCTGGGATGTTGGCTAAAGGTGGGGGGTGGTCTTCGGTGTGTGGGGTGTGGGTCTGGGTCTGGGTCTGTGGGTCTGGGTGTGTGGATCTGGGGTGTGGGTCTGGTGTGGGTCTGGGGGTCTGGGGTGTGGGTTTGTGGGTCAGCGTGGGTTGGGTCTGAGGTGGGTCTGGGGTGTGGGTCTGGAGCGTGGGGGTGGGTCTGGGGTGTGGGTCTGGGTGTGGGTCTGGGGTGTGGGTCTGGTTTCGCTGAACTTAACAGAATTGAGAGTGGCACATGATGGAGAAGGAGAAGAACCTAAGCGAGCTCGACTAGAAGAGTCGCCAAAGAACAAGCCGTATGCACCCTTTGACGCAGACAGGGTAGCACAGAATAATGTTTTTCATGGAGATCCTCGTTTAGAGGTTGAAGGAGACCAACGCATGGCAACCACTAGTAATTTTGGCTGAACCTTACGATGCAGAAAAAAAAACAATGTGAGAAAATTCTGCGAGTCTGGAACCTGTTTCAGTTCGAGGGGTTGGACAAACCCGTGGAAAAAAAACAACAGGAATTACATCGATTGTCCAAGTAAAAGTGAGGAAATGGTTCAGATCGATTGAACTTGGAAAAGCTGGGCCGATGCGAGGTGTGTGATTTGTGTTTTCGTGAACAGAAGTGGATCAGAAGGTTGTTCGATATTGCTCGAGAATACCGTGATGGAGCAGAGCGCACTCCTCAAACGTTTAGCCCTAAGCAACGAGTGTGGCAAGCCAACTTGAGATTTTCACGCATTTACTGTGGGGATGGAAGATTTCAATCCTGGACGTGAAGAGTTCTTTCTCCCACAGATGCCCTGTGCTCCAATGAGTATTTGGCAAATTTGGCTTCTAACTGTAGCAAGTTCCCAAACGTTTAAGGCACATTCTTCGTCAACTGAGGGGTGGAGTATAAACCAATAAACTTGTTGTTGCCTGCGCTCATGCGTGCCGACGCACCAAGCGATCGGGACGCTCACAAACTTCAAGCAAAGATTGGACCGCTTAAGTTCCGATCTCCATCTATCACATGTAGACATTCAAATACATCTATGCGACTCCTACCGAAAAGGATATTGTTCAGTCTCATCGGGTCTTTAGCGCATTACAAGCGTTTCCATTTTACTGTCTGATTGTCCATTTGGGGTTTGGGTCCAACATCCTTTCCACTCACCAGTGCGGTGCCAGCATTGTTCTTCTGCCGTTTCGAAGTCCCTTGGAGAGCCGGGCAATTGCCTCAGAAGATCGAGTTCACACGACTGAGAGCATTCCCTCATCTGTCTTCAGGAACTAAGGTCACATCGTTGATTTCCCCTGGTTGCGGTGATTGTGAGTCTTCAAACAGCCCAAACAGACATGTGAAGAAGTGGTTTGAAAGACACGTGTGGTACAGTCCAGGCACAGGTGAAAGCAGATTTGCTTACCTATTTTTGAAGTTAGCTTGGTTTCTGAGTAATTTCGAAACATGGCAAACATTTAGAGCCTACAACCAGGGTTTAAACCAAAAAGTAAGTGAAACGAACTCGCAAAACACTTGAAGCGGACTAATTGCAACAAACGAAGTTTTTTAGGACCCAGTTTTGCTGTAGTTTTACCATAAACTAGATTTTTTGACGTGCGCAATCAATATTGAATAGTGAGAAATTGGCATTGCATGTGTCGTTAAACATCGAACGTTAGCCAGTGTAGCATGTCATGTGTCGCATTGTCTGTGTGGACTGCCAAAACAGGGGAAGGAAGGGAAGCGAGGGAAGTCAAGAGTTAGTTGTTCAAGTTCCGTTCGATAAGACTGCAAGTTGCTAAGAAAGTTCTGAGTTGATGGCGTGTTTGATGCCGCTGTGTTTTCTGAAAGTATGGCTTCGCTGAAGGGCTCTGTGCTTGACGCTTTGTGATTGCGCACTCATGTGTAAGGCATTTTGGAATTCTTCATGCAACTTTAAATTTTTGGTACGCAGAAACCAGGTCAAATGAATTTCATGATGGTTCGGCCGTTTTGGGTCTCAAGTTTCACACACCGAATCGTGACACCATCCCTCCGAAGGCCATTGTGTATGGGATTTTACAGAGAGGCATAAGCAACAGCGTGCAAGATTTTTGCGGCTTTGATGCTTGGTGCAGGCCCTCGGGGGACATGCAAATTCTACAGCTCTTGCTTGGCAATATCTTTCCGGCTGCTTGGACACACGCTGCATCTGATTAGAATCAATCCTGCACGCTGTGCATGCATTGTTCGTAAATTGGTGCATGACATAGACAGTATGTCGCATATTTCCAAATGTGGAAGTCCAGGGTTTGGAATATCCACTGGGCTTAGGCTCTCGTAGGCATTCTTTGCACATCCAAAGACATCAGGTTGTGTTGGCCTCGCTTGTCAACGAGAGCTGCCCGGATCAGCTCACGGCCTTGCAAGTTACGGTCGCTTTGCAGCACTCAAAGCTGTGAACCTTGCCTGAGAAGTTGTGCTTTCGACATGCCTGTGTTGGTTTGAGATTGGATCTGACTGGATGTGTTCTCATTGCATCTCGGTAGAGGGTTGTCGACCGGTTGAGCTTACACTGCCGTGTGCTTTGAAACGGTTTCTCATGTTTCTAGGGCTAGCAGCGGCTAACCGTCCCTCCAATGGCTGCGGGTTGAAGTTGCGGGTTAGGGCTTTGGAACTTTAAGGTCGAGCTCGTTTTAGCTATGTAGTATATGTAGGGTTCCATGTTTCCTTGGAAAGTTGTAGCACAATGTGAACGAACATCTCTGTTTTCATGCCCGAGATGCAGTTAGGCTGTGCAGCAGAACCAGGCGCGGACTACAGAAGTTGCATGTCGAGTCAGATGCGCCCACGTTGTTGTTTTCAATATATCGTGCTGCGTCTGACTTTGACTAAGTCATGCTTTGAAGGTCCACCATAGATCCCACCGTGAGAAAGTCCATCACAAGAACGCCCGCAAGAACAAAATTGCAGGTCTGGAGAGCATGCTGAAGCACATCTACATGTTGACATCGATCAGTTCTGAGTGTACTAATCGCGAGACAGGCAAAAGCAAGAGCACGGATGGACGCCATCCTCCCGACGGAAGCGAAAAGCACTGTCGCCCGCAGGTTGAACAGACACTACTTCAGTTCTTGCGTGCCAAGTCATGTGACAGTCCAATCAGATTTGCTGGAGGATGCTTCCGGGCACGTGCTTGGCTTGCAGCGGCGGATACGCAAAGAGGTGCACAGCTTGTGCCGCGGCGGCATCTGTGTAGTGACGATATCAACCGTGCTTCATTGACGGCGGAGGGTATGCACCTGTCATGTTTGTTCTTCGATACTCTTCGATGTTTTTGCCAAGCTTAAAAGGCTGGAGGTTTGGATTCTCGCGCTTCTTGCGTTCTAGCAGCTTCTTTGATGATATATGCCAGGAGCGATGCAGAGTTCCAGAGCTTTTCTCGGGCAGCGAATCTCTTGAAGGAGGCGGCACATCAGGTTTTTACACATGGAGGGAGAAAGCAGCTGCACTTTGAAATGGTTTCATTGTTTGATTGATTCTTGTTTGCTTGGTGGTATAACGTCCATGGGCTCTACATCGCCTCTTGTGAGGTGGAGTCCAAGTGCTCCGGCAAGACACTTTGCCAGACACTAAGATGTTCAAAGAGTACATAGTTTCTTCTCTCTCTCTCACAGGGGCACATGAGTCAATCAGGCCTGCGCAGATAACTTTCTGCAAGCTACCATGCTTATGGAAGGTAGCTTTACGTCTGCTTTCATATCCATTAAAACGATGCAGCTGCTCACGTGGCCACGTAAAGGTGTTGGAAATTCAAGGCGCTTGTGCTGTCGCTGTTTTCAGACGCTAGAAACTGTATATTGGCAAGCCAAATAGGTTCAACAACACATTGCGTTTTTTGTTCAGGTCCGGAGGACTATCCCAACACGTGGGACTCCTTCCGTACCTTCAACATGCCTTTTGACTTAGCAAGATCTGGCAAGTCACACCGAGTCACTTTGGGCTTTATGTTTGGCCTGTGCCAAAAAAGGCGATGCCACAACGACGAAGAAGACTTCCTCGTGTGCCATCGCAGGATGCTCTACGACTTGGAAACAAGTCTTCAAAAGATGCTTGGCGGCATTTTCCGTGGCACTTTCATTTCGGCGTTGTGCGAAGACTCCTGTGCTCTATTGTGGTCTTAGGATCTCTGGGGACTGTGATGTGACACTGCCATATTGGAACCCATACCGGGAACCTGGCAATGCCTTGGGTCGGACGCTCAGCACAGGCTTCAAAGCCCACATATTGTTGTGTTGCTTGGCACCCGTTCCTGGCCGTTCTGAGATTCAAAAGTGTGGAACTCCAGCCGATTCGGTGCTTTGTGGGGCGTAGAGGAGAAGTACTGCTACGCTGCTTGACGTGCATTTATCTTAGGTCAGGGAAGAAGTTTTTTTGGCGTGACGGGAGGGTTCTGCTCTGGGCATTGCCAGAACCGGTGAACGTGTCAGCCAGTTCAACCTGGCAATCTCTCATGCTTCCTTGACAAGGACAGCGCTGAGGATGCTTGGACAGACTGCGTGCCTTGGATCATATATATATATATGAAGCGGTGCGAGCACCTGCAGCTTTTCAATTTTTTCAAGCGACAGCGCAGCATTTTGCACAGTTTCGTTCCATTCAATGTCTTTGACATTTCTTGATTCGAGTCTTTGAGAAGATCACGTTTTGGGGACTGTCTGCTTGTGCTTGCCGGCGACAGCCACGCAAGTTTCTTGTCCAGGTCACAGATGGAGTTGGTGCTGATTGGAAGCAGGGCAATGACATCCACAGCTACGACTGCTACTTGCCGGTTAAGATTGTATGAAATTTTGTCGTCCGCAGCTTGTTCCAAGCATGTCATCGCCGAGTTTACTGGAGGTCATGAACGGGATGTGTGTCTGGATACCTGTAACGGTATTTGCAATGAAGTGAGATATGTGAGACCAATATATGCAAAGTGCGGAGCCCGTTCGATTCCGAAAGCCATTTGGAAGGCACACGCCGAGACATTCGTGGTATAATTGAATCAAGCGGTCAAGTAGAGGTTTCAGCACGAAGCAGAGTGCGAGTGCTGCAGACGACTACCAGAACGCCATGGTCCCCAAAAGCCTGATTCATTGTTGCTTGCCGTTAGTTCGTTAATGGGCACCGAAGTCACTGAAAGTACTTTGCCGGAAAAGCAGAGCCTGTGACACCACGTATATGATGAGGTCCGTAAGCTGGGTGGGCGAGCGTCCAGGATGACGCACTCCACAGCTTCCGTTTGGTGATTGACCTGCCGACCAAACTCCCGTCCGGGAAGACTTCTTCTCCGGCATAGCTGAGCTGTCCGCGAGACTGCACTCGGGGGGCTAGGAGCGGCTCGCTTGGGCGCCTTCACCTTCTGCGCTTCCGCCGCCGTGCAAGGTGTCTCTCAGCCCTAGTCCTGCTTCCGCGTCCCATTCCTCGCTGAGCTGTTGTTTAATTTCAGCAACCATGCGTTGCCTTAGCCCAGTTGGTAGCGTCAGTTGTGGCCACTTTGGCCCTGCAGTCCACGGCAATGAGCTCCAAGGGCTTGATGGTTGACTGAGCTTCTTGCCGACCAGTTCGTCACATGTAGTTCTTCTCCTTCACATGGGACGGTCTTCGAGTTTGATTGAAAGCTTGGCATGTTTGGTGGATCAGGGTGGCCTTCCAAAGGGCATCCGACGACATGCTCAGCAAGGCAACCCTGTTGCTAGCTTCTGGACATGCTCTTACCCCATGCTGTGCATCTGAACCTGTTCATGCTTGCGCTGAGCTGCTTTCGACTGCCCCCGATCCCGGTATAATGTCAAGGAAGTCCACTATTCTCCGGTGTCATTCAAACGTTCTGTCGAACCGTGTGCCCGCTGCAAGCTGCCCTCGCAATGATTGTCCGCAGCTGCCGGTAGAGCTGTCACCGGCCTTGACCAAATTCTATGCAGTGTGAGGGCGGTGGAAGTCTTTGCATTGGGCCTCATCGAGGTAGTGGCTTGCCCAAGTTTTCCCAGTGATGCCTTCAGCGGTGCAAAAGTGGCGAGCTTTTGTGTCGCCACATCTTACTGCACGTAAAGGATGGTGGGAGACATGAGTGCAGCTGTTTTTTCAAGCTTGCAGTTGGTGCGATGACCTGTGGCAATCCTGGGGTGAAAAGATATTTTGCAGACTATGCCACAGAGTTGCAGCAGAAGATGTTTCCCGAGCTGCTGACCATAGCAGCAAATTGGCATGAATCAGTGATCGTTGCATTGACCTCAAGCTCAGATGACACGGTTTTTTTCTTGGTTGGCGTGCAGACACCTGTGCCCGCTCCAGATGATGGAGCATGGCCGCAGTGGTGGCTATGAAGCAAACACATCTTCAGCAGGGGGGCTGCAAGCAGCCAGTGTGAGAAGATGCCAGAGGCATTTGCGTGGGCATGTCGGTAGAAATTGACATTTCGCACAGCTTGTAGCGAAACAACAGTGCTTCATTTCTGAAACCCGCAAGGTTGGCATGGAACCGATCGAACACAGTTGACAATGTGTGTTTTCGTGCTGAGGCTCTGCGTGTCTGAACAGGGCGCCGGAGTTGCGACTTTCCTGCACACGAAGAACCATTCGGTGGTCAAGGGTACCGGGTAGCCATTATGTTGTGTTTGTTTGTCATGCAATGGGCATGTGACTTCTGCATGCTTCCACTCACTCGTACATACGTTCTGACCTCGTCATGTCCAACCCAGCCATATGTGTGTGTGTGTGTGTGTGTGTGTTTCTGGCTGACGCCCCTTTAAAGCCGACACGGCATGACTCGGTGCCAGAGGGCCAAGCACAGGAAGTTCAACACTATGATGAATGGCCGTTGCTCTGCGGCATCGGCCAGGACAGTGTGATAGCCAAGGTACGCCAACCTTCTGCCATTTCCTGTCCTCCTCGTGGCTAGCCTGTTCTTTCGCTTGTCACTTCAGCATCTGTGGATTTCTCCGAGGGTGCGATCTCGAGTGGTCAAAAGTACCGATTACAGTTAAGGCCGCGGCAAAGAAAGACAGGACGCTGGAAGACTTCCAGTCCTGGGTCGCTTTGCTTTCAAGTGGCGTGACATGGTGCGATATCAGTGACTTAGGTCTTCTTCGATAATCAGCAGCAGAGAGCGCAAGACAGAGCATGGAGCACACATCGCCCAGGCAGTCGCCCTGTGAGATAGACCATCCGTCACAATCCCCTTTGCTGCTAATTAAGCACACAGACACATGCTCGACTTTGCTGCTCGACCCACTTGCTTTAAACCCCCACTTGCAGCTCAGGTGCGAGGAATTGTTGCAGACGTGCACTTCATGGTAGGCTTGCTTCCCTGCATGAGCAAGGTTTGCTAGAGATATAGTGGATGAAGTGAACAGATTTGGTGCAACACCTCACTGCCCTTGCCCGTGACACCGGTCTTGAGTGAGGTCTCGAGTCAGCAGAATTTGCTAACATCGCCAGAGACATGATAAGTGTGGGATGCTCCTCTCTCTCTCTCTTTTCTGCAGGCGGAGACATGGCGCATCTTCCAGAAGCCACGACAGATCCTGTGGCGTTTGCTCACTTTGGCCGCTCGCAGCATTCAAATGGACAAAGTGATTTCGGATGTGTCAGAGACTTGTAGCTTAGAAAGTGCCCTGCGATCTGATCAAGGCATGATGGACCTCCTGCTTTCCCTGCGCCAGGTGCCCGAGCAAGAGATGTGTAGAGGAAGATGCCAGGGGTGATAAGCTGTTTTGGCTACAGGCACCACATGATGCGTTCTAACTGTCTGCAGCCTCCCGAGCAGAAGTCCTCACGGCAAGGCCATGCGCATCCTCTCCAGCGCTTGCCAAGGTAGATGACAAACTTCTTGTAAAGTCTGCACAAAAATTCAGAAAGTCGGCAAAGCCCACGAAAGCGAGCTCAGGGTTGGGAGGAGAGGGACTTTCGCTCGTCAAGAAGGAGTGCATGGGCTCCCCGTGCGACGGCGGACGTTGGCACCCACGCACTTCCCAGCAAGTGAAATTTCGGTTTTCCGTCCAAAGTCACAAACAAAGGGGAGGGAGAGGTGCTTTAGGGGTTAGGCTACCTTGTGCACAGCAACTTCCTGCAGGTGTACCGCTCAAAAGCTGGAAAGGATGAGCTTTGCACTACCTGATCCTTGGCTTGAAATGAGGAGCCTGTGGGTGAAACAATGAATTACGATGCAGCGTGCAAGCAGGCCCTGCGAAGCAACCCGGTGATGTCCTTGCAATTGGAACCGCCGTCGGTTTTAATATCCTGACACTCAGCAAGTGTTGGCAAGGTTCGAAGCCGACTGCTTTTTACAACGTCCCTCGATCTGAGTGGCTCGGAAAGGTGGACGCTGCGAACTCATGCATTCAGGCCGGCAAATAGCCGCAGGCCGACACTAGCTCAGATTGTCAAGATCAGCAGGTGCCAGCCAGCAGTCCGCGAGCCTGCATCGGCTATGGAGATCTTGTCCTTGCAACAGGCCCTGAACGATGCTGCAGAGTTCCAGTGCATCTGGACAGGTTGTAATCTCAAATGGATAACACGATAGGTTTCCACGAGTCGTGTGCCAAAGTCAGGTGTCAGGGCAAGCTCACCTGCAAGTTGTGCAGTGGCAGCGCGTTGTTGTGAAAGCACAGATATATGTCGGCTAGTGGCTACACGGCTAAACATTTATGGTAGGCCTGATTTGCAGGCAACCGGGGACAGGCAAGCTTGCTCAGCATCTTGGCGAGCGTTGGCACGGGTCTTTACCTGATGGAGATACCTGCATTCAACTGCGTTTGCGGCACATCTCGGCATTTTCTGCTTTCCTTAAGTTGATGTTCGCGCCCCAAAGGCGAAGGTGATTCAGAAGAGTCAAGTGCCGGAGCCAAGTGCTGCTTGGACTGCACGCGCTTTTCTGTGTGGGTGGCATAGTTTCAGGCTGTTAGCGAAACATGGATGATGCCTGAGGTACCAGGATGTTGAACACAATGAAGTCCAGCACCTGCGGTGTGAAGGACGCAGCTACTGAACTGCAGGTATGGCAAATACATTCCACAGTGTGTTTGAAGGCTCGTCCTGGAGGTCAAGACCTCGACCCAGAAATCTTAAACCAATCTCAAGATGCCCTCATGTTCTGCACTGCATGTCGGCTCGTTATGCAGGATTTGTTGCACAGCGTCGTCCTCACGCAGCGATACAACGCGTGCCTTTGGCAGCAAAGCCAGACAGCCCTCACTTGCACGGGTGGAGACTTCTCTGGTTGCTGAATGTTGTGCTAAGGACTTCAGCGTACGCTGCGTGCAGGACGCAAGCATCACTGAACAATGGAAAGCTCCCAATGACACGGGGTATATCTTGGAACACACGGATGTGAGGACTTACTGGTCCAGTATGGACTCCGAGATGGGACGCAATTTCATGAAGTGGACGCGAAACACAGCCACCAAGAGGCCGTCAGTGTAAGACGAGATTGCACTGCAAAAGGGGATCATGATTCCTTGTCATGCGTGCGTGCGTGGGCGTGTGTGTGTGCGTGTGTGTCGACACAGCTGGCGGAGCTTTCTTTCGTCAGGATAGAAAGCTGCAAAGCAGCTGTCAATGAGACCATGAAGCTGGTGAGCTTTTTCAGGCCAGGCCGTCGAAGTCAGATGTCTATGGTTTGCTCAAGTTGCTCGTTTGTGAAGAAGACCCAGAACGATTCATGAATGGAAGGCATGATGAACCAGTGGGCAGTCCTGAAACGAAGCTGGGCCCTCAGATTTTGCAAGCCGCAAACAGTGCGGGATATGGCAAGGTGGCGAAGGTCATCAGCATGCGCTGTGTATCGCTCCATAGAGGTTTCTGCTTTATTGGATTTGTAGTTTCGAGATGCGCCACGTGATAAATCAGTCTTGCTGCTCGTGGTAATAGCTCGTTGCTTTGCACGAAGACAACGTAACTGATGATGGCTGTGCACCATGGCCACAAAATGGCGTGACAAAAGGCATTGGAAGGCTCTGAAGGCTCCAACAAGCTCCAAAACCGCTTAGAAAAGCCGTGTACGTTGCCTTCTGAGGGCCCTCACAAGATCCCGGCAGCAGCATCTAACCCAAAGGCGTCGGTTTGAGCAATAATCGTGTGCAATACTTTCCATTTCCGGGAATGAGGGTCCCAAGAGCTCCAAAATTGCCTTGAAAAACAGATTGAAAGGCTCCACAAGGTGTTGGCAGCAGGAAGCAAAGCTGTTGGTGATTGTCCTTGTACTTGCAGTGCATGTTATCATCACACCCCAGCACCGTCCCCACCCCACGAGCCTTGGAGCCAGAAGCAGCGACCACGTCGGGTGGTCAAGGGTGCCGTAGGCAGCCTGCCATGGACCAAAGCTCAGGTATGGCATCAAGTGTGATGCGACCTTGGAATGCTGAAGGTGTCTCAGCTGCAGAGCTTGTGCAGGACGTTGCTCTTGTGACCCACTTCTTGCTAAGTCAAAGAAGCAGCTTGTATCAGCTCGTGACTGTCAGTTGGCTTGAGAACTGACTGTGCTGTTATCCATCTTTTGTTGATGTTTTTTGGATCAGGACACAGCTTCTTGACATGTTGTAGCACTAGCAGGTGGAGTTCTTTCACGCTGCAAACTGTCAGCAGCGGATGCGGACTCGCATGGACTGTGCCATGTATGTAAGGCACGTCTCCAAGTTGATGTGACCGCTCACGGGAATCGCCTGAGCAATTCTGAATGTTATTGGCATGTGTGACGAGGTAGTTGCTGTCTATTGAGAGTGTATTGCCAGCTGTAGATACAAACCATTAGCTTGCACGGGTTTTGTATTCATTGATTTTATCACGAAGGTTGGCTTGGGCATGGTGGACAGCTGGAGCGATTTTTAGCTGATTCTCTTGCCAAAGACTCCAAACTGAGCATGTGGCAAGGAAGGAACATGCAGGGACACCAGGCAGTGGTGTGGGTTTCATTCGCAATGAAGCTCACAGTGCCAGGACCCTCAAGTTTTAGATGCTCCTACGCTACGGACTCGCACTTGCTGTACGTTATACTTGGGATAACCCCAGTCCATGCCAATGGGTGATTTTGCACCAAAGGGGAGCAAGCTCAGTGTAGCTTGACATGCCTGCTCTCAGAACAGGGTGCATACAGGCCAGGAGGCTCAAGCGCCCTTTCTGAAAGAAATGGTAGCCACAGCCATGCGAGAGTTTTTGAACCTGACCACTGCACTGACGGTGGTGGCGGTCTGCGCCTGCACTGTCCTTCTGACCGGGGATGTCGCCTTCACCGCGGGCCTGAGCCGTGGGCCACAGCTGCCCTCACACTTGTCCGGGTCGTCGAGCCTGGTGCGTTCTCCTTTCGCGTCAGCACACGAGACCTTGGGCACCAAGGGCGTCCTCTGCTATGGCATGGGCTTCGGTGTGCTCATGGCGCTTGGCCGAGGTCTTCTTTCCCAGGTGCGTGTGTCCCGCCAGGCGACCTCGGACATTGCTGTGCAGGACAAAGCAGACGTGACGGACAAGATCGCTTACCTGAAGGACATTCCCCGCACCATTGTGGAGAAGGACGCCTTGGAGCTGATCTTGAAGAACACTCCTAAAGACCAGTGGGAAAACCCACCAGAGGACTCGTACCTCTACACGGTCAAGGCCTATGCAGAGATGTATGGCCCAGGAAAGGCTACCAAGATGGGCTGGTGGGACTACTACAGGATGAAGATTGAGCTGCCGGACACCACCAGGCTTGAATCTGAGCGGGAGCTGCAGGAGATCGAAGAGTGGGAGAAGCTCATGATGGAAGGCAAGATCCCGTTCGCGGTGCCAGGCCCTTCTGGCTACTGGTTCACCGGCTTCGTGACGCAGTGGAAGGGCAAGGAGCCCTTTGCTGGTGACCAGGTTATCACGCTCACCGAGAACGGCCTCTTCGCCAAGCAGTTCCTGAGCAATATGGCTTTCTACCGTGAGGGCTTGAAGCCTTGGCAGCGTGGCCTGGAGATTGGCATGGCCCATGGCTACTTCCTGATCGGGCCATTCACGTCCTTGGGTCCTCTCAGGAACACGCCGGAGGCTGCCACTGTGGGCCTCCTGTGCGGCTGTGCCATCGTGGGCATTGTGTCCATCGGAGGCTTGCTCTTCGGCAGCACCATCAAGCCCACACGCTTCGACAAGGAAGGTGACAAGCCAGCTGCAGGCTTCATCGAGATGATCAACTGGCACGCCATCGGCGGACTGGGCGGGGCGGGCTTTGCGCATGCCCTCATCACCGTCTTCGGCTCCGGCTGAGTGAGCTTGAACCGGATTTTTTGCGTCGGTAAAAAGCCCAGCCACTTCGCCTGCAGTAGGATTACTCCCACGCCATTGTCGAATTCCTCGTTGAAGTTCAGCTTTGCACGCCAGCAGCGTCTGCCGGAGCTCAACGTGGGTCTTTCTTGGGGACGTTGTTGGCAACATCGTGTCAGAATGTCACAGAATAAGTGCGATTCCCCTTTTTCATTTGCCAGCATCCTTACGCAAAGGGCACTCGAAGACGTTAACTTGTTTGCACTACTCCACGAGCCTGCGAAATATTTGTAAACGGTTGCGCCCGCAGCCTTGGCAGCCGGGCCGGGCCAACGCAGTTGTAGCGTGCGCATCACGCAAACGAAGGAAAGCCAAAGCAATATGTCGCATGGTGCAGCACCACACGCTTCATGAGTTCAGGAGGCAGGAGGTAGGGTCCGGAGGTCTCAGGGGAATCAGGAGGTTTAGGGTGGTCCCAGAAGGCTTCATACAGAATGGTGAATGACACAGTTGCCCAGCAACTAACCTACGCAACTTATGGTGTGAAGGCCGAAGACGTGTTTGGAGCTGGTAGCCAAATAGCCCATCGCGCAAGGCAGAAAACCATGCTGCGACAACTCAAGCGTCAGGTTCTCCCCCGCTGCCCAGGGTAGGCCAGCCCGCCATGGCGCGTGATTTCCTGAACCTGACCACCGCGCTGACGGTGGCAGCGGTCTGCGCCTGCACTGTCCTTCTGACTGGGGATGTCGCCTTCACCGCGGGCCTGAGCCGTGGGCCACAGCTGCCCTCACACCTGTCCGGGTCGTCGAGCCTGGTGCGTTCTCCTTTCGCGTCAGCACACGAGACCTTGGGCACCAAGGGCGTCCTCTGCTATGGCATGGGCTTCGGTGTGCTCATGGCGCTTGGCCGAGGTCTTCTTTCCCAGGTGCGTGTGTCCCGCCAGGCGACCTCGGACATTGCTGTGCAGGACAAAGCAGACGTGACGGACAAGATCGCTTACCTGAAGGACATTCCCCGCACCATTGTGGAGAAGGACGCCTTGGAGCTGATCTTGAAGAACACTCCTAAAGACCAGTGGGAAAACCCACCAGAGGACTCGTACCTCTACACGGTCAAGGCCTATGCAGAGATGTATGGCCCAGGAAAGGCTACCAAGATGGGCTGGTGGGACTACTACAGGATGAAGATTGAGCTGCCGGACACCACCAGGCTTGAATCTGAGCGGGAGCTGCAGGAGATCGAAGAGTGGGAGAAGCTCATGATGGAAGGCAAGATCCCGTTCGCGGTGCCAGGCCCTTCTGGCTACTGGTTCACCGGCTTCGTGACGCAGTGGAAGGGCAAGGAGCCCTTTGCTGGTGACCAGGTTATCACGCTCACCGAGAACGGCCTCTTCGCCAAGCAGTTCCTGAGCAATATGGCTTTCTACCGTGAGGGCTTGAAGCCTTGGCAGCGTGGCCTGGAGATTGGCATGGCCCATGGCTACTTCCTGATCGGGCCATTCACGTCCTTGGGTCCTCTCAGGAACACGCCGGAGGCTGCCACTGTGGGCCTCCTGTGCGGCTGTGCCATCGTGGGCATTGTGTCCATCGGAGGCTTGCTCTTCGGCAGCACCATCAAGCCCACACGCTTCGACAAGGAAGGTGACAAGCCAGCTGCAGGCTTCATCGAGATGATCAACTGGCACGCCATCGGCGGACTGGGCGGGGCGGGCTTTGCGCATGCCCTCATCACCGTCTTCGGCTCCGGCTGAGGGGCTGCCTTTTTTTAGACGCCACGTTTGTCGTGTGCTGAAGGGCATGAAGGCAGTGTTCCGCATGTGCGAATGCCTGGTGAAGGCTGTCTTGAAAGAAAGGTGGCGTCTCCGAACCAGAAGTCTTCCGCAGTAGGCTGGCTTCATCCGAGTACACGTCAGTTTCAGAGACGTGCGCACTGCAGGCATGTAAGGTTGGGATTACAACGCTTGCAGTTACGCTGTCTTAGTGATAGTGATGTTTTGCTGTGTCTGAATACAAAGCTCTTAGTTATGACGAAGCATTCCGCAACACCGGCTTTTTAGTGAAGGTACCTCCCCGCCACTTAGGGTAGGACAGCCCGCCATGGCGCGTGATTTCCTGAACCTGACCACCGCGCTGACGGTGGCGGCGGTCTGCGCCTGCACTGTCCTTCTGACCGGGGATGTCGCCTTCACCGCGGGCCTGAGCCGTGGGCCACAGCTGCCCTCACACTTGTCCGGGTCGTCGAGCCTGGTGCGTTCTCCTTTCGCATCAGCACACGAGACCTTGGGCACCAAGGGCGTCCTCTGCTATGGCATGGGCTTCGGTGTGCTCATGGCGCTTGGCCGAGGTCTTCTTTCCCAGGTGCGTGTGTCCCGCCAGGCGACCTCGGACATTGCTGTGCAGGACAAAGCAGACGTGACGGACAAGATCGCTTACCTGAAGGACATTCCCCGCACCATTGTGGAGAAGGACGCCTTGGAGCTGATCTTGAAGAACACTCCTAAAGACCAGTGGGAAAACCCACCAGAGGACTCGTACCTCTACACGGTCAAGGCCTATGCAGAGATGTATGGACCAGGAAAGGCTACCAAGATGGGCTGGTGGGACTACTACAGGATGAAGATTGAGCTGCCGGACACTACCAGGCTTGAATCTGAGCGGGAGCTGCAGGAGATCGAAGAGTGGGAGAAGCTCATGATGGAAGGCAAGATCCCGTTCGCGGTGCCAGGCCCTTCTGGCTACTGGTTCACCGGCTTCGTGACGCAGTGGAAGGGCAAGGAGCCCTTTGCTGGTGACCAGGTTATCACGCTCACCGAGAACGGCCTCTTCGCCAAGCAGTTCCTGAGCAATATGGCTTTCTACCGTGAGGGCTTGAAGCCTTGGCAGCGTGGCCTGGAGATTGGCATGGCCCATGGCTACTTCCTGATCGGGCCATTCACGTCCTTGGGTCCTCTCAGGAACACGCCGGAGGCTGCCACTGTGGGCCTCCTGTGCGGCTGTGCCATCGTGGGCATTGTGTCCATCGGAGGCTTGCTCTTCGGCAGCACCATCAAGCCCACACGCTTCGACAAGGAAGGTGACAAGCCAGCTGCAGGCTTCATCGAGATGATCAACTGGCACGCCATCGGCGGACTGGGCGGGGCGGGCTTTGCGCATGCCCTCATCACCGTCTTCGGCTCCGGCTGAGGGGCAGGACGCTATTTTTAAGAAAGGTTCATGCAGAACAACGTAGCACCAGAAGCCGTGCAGTTGTTTCCTTCCAGCCTGCCATTCAAAATCGTGAACAGTCCATTTGTCCGTCCGCGCAGAGGCAGCAGAGTCAAGGATCTAGGAGCGTTGAAGGAGTGACCTAATTTTTCGAGAACTGAGGCAAACAACTGTGCATCTTTCCACGCCCCACATCCCAGCAAGTCAAGACTAATCTGAGGAATAGATTTTCAAAGATATGCGGTGAACGTCCAATGTCGGCATGTGCCTGAAGGGTTGACATGCCTGGGAGGCTCGTGAAGTCTTTATGGGCTAGGGAGTCCGCCAGGGAAGGCTCCGCTACCATGAAGTCTTTTAGCAGATGTTGAGGGCTGTGGGGCTGCGGTGAACCCTCAATGTCGACAAGTACATAAAGGGATGACATCTGTTACAATCTTCGTAAGTCTGGCTGCGCACCGGCAATGTTGCAGTCCTTGCAGGGTTTGCACTGCAGTTTCAGGAGCGGAGTATCAGGTACAACATCCTGAAAACTGAGCTGAACCCGAATCCATACCTAGATCACGTGCCGCGTGTGCTGCGGACGCAGTTGAAACTTTCCCGCATGAAAGGCGACTCACATGTTGTCTCTGGCCTCACCTTAGCCCCCACGACATTTCAAGCTCAAGGACACGGTCAGAGCCTTCTGCAGGTAGCGAAGGAATGACGGTCCTGCGAGATTTTTTGAACCTGACCACCGCACTGACGGTGGTGGCGGTCTGCGCCTGCACTGTCCTTCTGACCGGGGATGTCGCCTTCACCGCGGGCCTGAGCCGTGGGCCACAGCTGCCCTCACACTTGTCCGGGTCGTCGAGCCTGGTGCGTTCTCCTTTCGCATCAGCACACGAGACCTTGGGCACCAAGGGCGTCCTCTGCTATGGCATGGGCTTCGGTGTGCTCATGGCGCTTGGCCGAGGTCTTCTTTCCCAGGTGCGTGTGTCCCGCCAGGCGACCTCGGACATTGCTGTGCAGGACAAAGCAGACGTGACGGACAAGATCGCTTACCTGAAGGACATTCCCCGCACCATTGTGGAGAAGGACGCCTTGGAGCTGATCTTGAAGAACACTCCTAAAGACCAGTGGGAAAACCCACCAGAGGACTCGTACCTCTACACGGTCAAGGCCTATGCAGAGATGTATGGACCAGGAAAGGCTACCAAGATGGGCTGGTGGGACTACTACAGGATGAAGATTGAGCTGCCGGACACTACCAGGCTTGAATCTGAGCGGGAGCTGCAGGAGATCGAAGAGTGGGAGAAGCTCATGATGGAAGGCAAGATCCCGTTCGCGGTGCCAGGCCCTTCTGGCTACTGGTTCACCGGCTTCGTGACGCAGTGGAAGGGCAAGGAGCCCTTTGCTGGTGACCAGGTTATCACGCTCACCGAGAACGGCCTCTTCGCCAAGCAGTTCCTGAGCAATATGGCTTTCTACCGTGAGGGCTTGAAGCCTTGGCAGCGTGGCCTGGAGATTGGCATGGCCCATGGCTACTTCCTGATCGGGCCATTCACGTCCTTGGGTCCTCTCAGGAACACGCCGGAGGCTGCCACTGTGGGCCTCCTGTGCGGCTGTGCCATCGTGGGCATTGTGTCCATCGGAGGCTTGCTCTTCGGCAGCACCATCAAGCCCACACGCTTCGACAAGGAAGGTGACAAGCCAGCTGCAGGCTTCATCGAGATGATCAACTGGCACGCCATCGGCGGACTGGGCGGGGCGGGCTTTGCGCATGCCCTCATCACCGTCTTCGGCTCCGGCTGAGGGGCAAGCTACTGATCAGCGTGGCTCAGCTGCAGGCGTCAGGAAAGGTCTCCTTGCCCGTCTTGCTTTTCATGCTTACATTCTGTTTGTTTTTTTGCTTGTCTTGGCACGTCTTGGGTCCGAGTTCTTCGCTGAAATATCACCCAACGTTCGCGGGTCATATTGTGTGATTGGTGCAACCTGCCTAGTGACAGTCAGAGTAATTATGCCGGCATGAAGACTGCTCGATAACTTGCTGCATGTGTGCTTTGGAATCGCTGTGAAGCATCCAGCAACACATGACTGTGTGATCAGCAACAACAACTAGGCTGCGGCTGTTTCAGGCATTTGTTGCAGAGCGAACGCCCTCTCGACCCATTGCAGAGCAGCCGACTACACCACATTACACCGACTCCACGGAAACGCAGTGACTGATTCCTACGGACCCTCACACTTCCTCAAACTGACTGCATGTGATGGTTCCTTCTTGAACACTTCGCTGATGTCGCACAGCCGGCAGCGGAGTCCATCAGACGCCGCTATGCAGGCGGAGGCCGTATGACATCACTGGGCCCCATGTCAGTCAGGTTGGCCTGGGGCTGCGTTTGTTGCTAGACGGCGCTAGACTCGTTTGCCTGCACAAGCTATTGAATTTGTCGGGCAGCTTAGTGGCTTTACAGCCCTTACTTACAGTTTGACCCGCCATGCTATATTCCATGGCCATCCTGTACCGCACTGCCCTGCCCCTTCCTTCCCGATTGCCTTCCCTCCCCTTATGACTTATGACCTCACACACATGCCTTCCGCGTGCTAACTGCAGGATGCCGTGGAGGATCATGTGTCAGTTGCTGTGGAGGCGCCCCAATGAGAGTTTGACACGCCTGTGGCAGCATGTGACTCATCATGTGACAGTATGTGAGCATGTCAGCAGGCTGCTCAGGGGGCAAAGTGGTGAGCCTGGATTGGAACTAGAATGGCCATGATCATGGCATGACACGTCTTCATCTCACGCGGATCTCAGTGCACACGTACACACTCCAAGTCTGGGCTCGTGTTTCCAAGGCTGGCGTTGTGGGACCGGCTGCCTTGCTATGCTGAGGCAGGACGCCGAAAGTGTCGACGTAGCCGCCGTAGTTCTCCAAGAGCATCAAAGCAGTCGGGTATCATGTTCCATATGTGTCCTGTTCCACGCACTTTTACAATCCCGAAAGCAGTTGACAAGCCAAGCATAATCATCTCTGCCATCTACCGCGATGCACTGTATGATACTGTATGTTTCAACATCTCGCTTCACTGCCAGCACTTCTGCGACGTGTCGCTGCGAAGCACTGATGGACAAGTCTTCAAGGCGCCGAAACAGATTGAGAGCCCTCTTCCACGGACACAAGTGATGTGTCCAGTGAGAGCCAGAGCTCTGGCTTTGGCGCTTGACCATCTCAGGCACATCGCCTCGTGCTCTCCATGGCTTCAGACCCCTTGTTTGCCATGCTGAGTGGCAGCTTTGCAGAAGGGCCGTGGCCTTGGTCTGGATGCTTAAGCACTGGCATACTTGACCAAATGCCCGCCCAGCCTCCTCATAGTAGACGGAACGGCAAATCGAAAATAACAAAGAGCCACTGACACGGAAAACCAAGAGAGCTATGTCCTTTAGTCCTGATCAACGCAGTCAGCAAAAAGATCAATACACAAGCGACCAAGGCAGCAGTCGGAGGTGCCGTTCGACTACTCGAGTGAGGTGGCACATGGTGGCATCTTTGAGCACAAGCACACGCAAGCACACGCAAGTACCCTCCAAGCCACTTGGCGTTGCGGCTTCCATCATTGCGCCACTCTTTGACGCTTCCAGGCGCTGAACGCCTTCCTTGAGTTCCTGTACAGAGGCTGAAACAGACCGTATGCTCCATGCAACAATTCAGGTCTCTTCTGCTCTACTTCCTGAAAGCTGCAAGAATATTTCGGGCTTGTTCACAGTGGTCGGATGCGTTGGGGATCTGCAGGGGTCCCGTTTGCTTTCGTTTATTCTGATTCTCATCCTCCTCATCCTCCTCCTCCTCCTCCTCAAGGATTGTCTGTTGAGCCTGTTCTTTTCTTTCTGTGCATAGTCCGTCGGGTATTCTCTTGAATGCTGATCAGTATATACATGGTTGCTTCTACCGTGTGCTGAGACTCCGCCCATGCTGTACGTTCTCATCATGCCCAGTCGTTGTCGTGGTGTTGGTGGCGTGGGTGGCGTGGGTGGCGTGGGTGGCGTGGGTGGAATGGGTGGCATGGGGCGGGTTGGGAGAAAACACTGGCAAGCAGGGAGGGGAATAACAAGAGGTCGGGAAGCCTGTTCAAAGTCAGATATTGTTTATATAATATAACTATAGGTGTGTCGCAAAACCTGGCCGTCCTTTATGCAGCATGTGGCTCTACTAGCATGCGGCATCATGCAGCTGTCTAGAGATTTGATTGATTTTTATTGGTAGGCTCCCGAGATGCGGGAAATCATGTCAGTTGTCTCATGTTGTCTCTTATGCCCGCGTCAGGCACCTTCTGTGTCAAGAAGGCACGCCAGCGCTCGTCGGCATCACTCTGAGGAGCCCTAAAGAAAGTACTCAACACTGCGTAGCTCTGGGCCAGGCCATTCTGCCAGAACTTCTCCGGCTCTGTCACCAGTGGGAGGTGTGGACGTTGTACCATCTTATACCTCAGTAGGCCTGGAAATCTCCAAAAGCTAAAAGGTCCAGAGATGTGCATCGCCGGCTTTGTCTTTGTTCCTTTGTTTGGTGCCAGGTGCAGCCCTTGCAGACGGCGCTCAACGAGCTGCTGGTGAAGCCTTCCGCCCGGCTAGGAAAATTTCCAACTGCTTAGTTGTAGATTTCACGCAGATCTCAGCACTCTCCTTAGCCATGGGTGGCATGTCAAAGTCTTCCAGCAGGAATCGCTGCAAAAGCTGTCTGGTCGTGTGTTGAAGTAAGTTGTGGGCATCAGAGTTTGGGACTGCGAAGTTGTTAGGCACATGACGCCGGAGCTCTGCTCATCGCTGATCGTCGACTGCGAGGCCGTGAGGGAGATGCAGAGGGAAGGCAAACGCAGAGAGAGAGGTTACCGCTAACTACCCGAACACCGGGGCGCGAACCGCGCGAGGGTGTCAGCTCCGAGCCGCCAGAAAGAGAGCGAGAGCTGGAAAGAAGGGGAGCGAGAGAGAGAGACAGAGAGAGCTTGAGAGAGCTTGAGAGAGCTTGAGAGAGCTTGAGAGGCTGGTAGTTCGATGGGGGTTTACTGGTTGTTGGGGATCGGATGCCCACTGTCGTAGTGAAATGCGAGTACCGTCCGCGTCTACAGATGACTTTTTTTTAGGAAGCGGTGTGGTGCTTAGGTGGTACTTGGTGTGATTGACTTGAAGTCATCGCGGGCCAGATGAGGGGGAGATCAAATTCGTGGGCGGGGCACCAGCTCCGAATCCGTGTGCCTCGCATGTTCTCTCCCCACGGGCCGAACTTTGTTTTCTGCTCCAAACGAGAGGTGCCAGCCGGGAACTCGGGGGATGCGCTGCTATGGCAACAGGGGGATGGGGGGAGGGGGTGGGTATCGATCAACCCCCCGAGTTCCATCGTTCCACCGACTACCCCAAAGCAGAGGCGCGCGAACAGCGTGGGGGGCTTGCCCCTCATGCCCCAAAGAAAGAAAGAAAGAGAGCTTGATAACCCGAAACCATGGTGCCATTTTTGGCACAATTTGGAGCCCCCCGCCCTTTCCCCCCGCTCGTAGCACAGAGGAAGAGGTGGTGAAGCAGAAGGGGGCGTGACAACGCCAGATTTTGAAGAACGTTTGGAGGAGGGACAGAACGCCGCAAGGCAGGGGGCATCCCTCCAGGTTTGTTGAGCGTATGCCTTGGTTGTGCGTTCTCTGCGTGCAACAATGTGTTTGGACACGAACCTGAGAGAAGAAGCACTGCCCACCCGTCTAAGACCAAGCAACATTGAATAAATGCCAAATCGCAGTTTTGTCTTTTTCAGGGTCTCATTCATGCACTCGCTGCGATTGCGATTCAAGCACCGGCGATTCAAGCACGCCCGATTCGCGCACCGGCGGTTCAAGCACCAGAAGGGTTCGAGTACTTTCGATCAAGCACCGGGGATTCCTTTGGGGATGGTTGTGGGTTTTAAAGGCTTGGATTTTCAGTTCCATGGTTTGAGGTTGCTAGGGCTGAGGTCTTTTGTTATAGGGAGTTTAGGGTTCTTCAGATTTACGGCATTTAGGGCTTAGGGCGTTTAGGGTCTTTAAGCTCCCAACATCCCTCAACTCTCAAAACTAAGAGCCCTTCGTTACGCATTCGGGAAAAGTCTGAACGAGGGGCAGGGGGGCTGGAATCACGTGGCCCCTAGTCCCCCAAAAATTCCAACAGGAACACTCCGCGAATTGTTGCACAAGGATTCAAAGAGGGATGGCTTTCCTTGCAGGTACTGCTGGTGGACAAGCTTGATGAGATGCTAGTGGTCAACTTAAACTCTTGGATGTGCTGTGAGTTCACAAGTGCTGATTGCCAATATGGCCGAGTCCGAGTGAAATGTCGTAACGCATTCTGCATGCAAACAAGGAAAACTATGTGCTAGAGAACTTCGGCTCCTGCGCCAGGACCTCATCAGAGACACGCCAAAAGACCTAATCCAACGGTTCTGGCATAATGTTGTCATGTTAACAACCTTCAGTCCGAGGTGCGAACAGAGCAGTTCGGCTCTTGGCCACTACACCGCATGGTCTTTGCCTTACGGACGTTACCAGGATTTGTTCGGCTGAGGCTGCCCAGCCTACTCGGCTCTGTTGTTCCCAGCGCTCCCAATAGTCCGATGAAAAGACACGTGCATAGTTCACCCGCTACTTCAAGCATCCAACAGTAGTCAACCCTAAAACTTCCAGGAAAGACATGCTGGTCATACCTTTCTAGATGTTGGTCTGCCTGAAGTCGTGGAACGAACTTGACGACGCATTCGGTCAAGATGCGAGCAGACGGCCTAGTTGTCCTGAACATGGTACTTTCGAAGGTGTACATGATGTGCACAAACTATCGACCACTGAAAGTCAGAGACGTGAAAGGAAGCGTCTCGGCAAAGGGGGGGGGGCATATCGAAGCCAAAGAGAAACAATCGCATTCACAAGCCGGCACAGCAGAGCCCCTCAAGGTCGTCGCTGGTTCGGGCTTTGCAGCCTGTGCAGAAAGTGCAAATGCGTTGCGAATATAGATGCTGTCCAGTCGGTTTTGCTGTGTTGCGTCGCCATGCTAATTGCCCGATGTCGAGCGAACCAAGTTCCTGCCAATGCTGTTCGGGGCCTGACCCGCCGTTGCAGTGGTTAGGCTGAGATCTGCACAAGAGGGCTGCGAACAAGTCTGCCGTGTCTGGGCAGTCAGGGACAGTTTCAACCCGGCAGGTGAAGCGAGCTTGCGGACCGCACAACAGAAATCGTTTGCTAGATGGTTCGATAGCTAGCCAAGTCGCCTGGACAGATCTCTCGCTGTCTCTCGGCAAGTTCGCTATTTCTCTCCTTCTCTTGCTACTCCTCCTCTTTGAATGGGCCTTCTTCTGACTTTCAGCACCAACCTGTGGTCAAGAAGCTTGCGCCGAGATCGGAATATTGCGCAGTGACGAATTGGTGGCGGAGCATGAGGAGGAGGCTCCTGCCTGAGTTTTATGAGAGCCGCGAGCCATGCCGGCACCCCTGGCCCAAGCTGTTGCCATTGGAGCTCTCCACGGCTTGGTATTTGCCCAGGTGCTGGCTGCAGTGATGCACTGGCACCGGAGTGGCCCTTCACGCGATGATGCAACAGCGGCCAGCGCAACTGATGATAACATTCGATGTGCAGCTGTGCAAAACATGATAAGCCGTCAAGCCTTCCCGCTGGCAACATGTGGCAACGCGGCTGAGCAGGCGCTGCTTCAGATGGTTCGCTTTCCCTTGCTGTCGGTGGCGGCTCTGCAAGGCATGGAACATGGACCAAAGCAGTTGACAAGTTGACAGATGCTGACAGATGGGCCTGACGGCTTTCTTGTGTGGAGGTCTTGGCAGCAGAGAAGGCCTGCTGGTGAGGGGCAAGAAGAGGACGAAGAGAACAATCCTGCAGAATCGAGTGTGCTTGAGTTCTTCGAGCGTGGGTTTACCTTCCGTTCCCAACAGGCCTAACAGGCCTTCCTGGAGTTGTGCTTGCCTTACTTGCACTGTACATATTCGGATATGGGATGACTCCGCATAGGCCGCATAGAGCGCAGCGAGAAGCATGCAAGGAATGCAAGCGCAGCGTGGTTGAGGTTATGTCCCGCCTAGCAGCGGCTGCGCTGAAGGTCCACCAGGGCTGTCCACAGAGCTCGTGCCTCAATGGGGAATCTCTTGGTGACATCGATTTTTTTAGGGTTTAGGATTTGGGGTTTAGGGTTTAGGGTCTAGGGTTTAGGGTTTTGGGGTTTAGTGTTATCACCTTGACTAGGGATTTCGGATGGTTCGGGATCGACGAAGAATGACTGAATGACTTGGAGCGAAGCAGGTCAACAGTTGTGTCTAGGCCTCTTCTCTGCTCTTACGAAGTTGTCTGTCTCTTGATCCTGAGGTGCATTTTGTCGCAGCTAACCACACAATCCACACACACCGTTGATCTTGCCGTGGTCGGCAGTCCAAGCGGCAAGCTGGCGCTGCATGCAACTTTGCCGTTGCAAGGTGACTGCCAGCGCTGGGACAGACCAGACAGCCACGATGAGCAGGACGATGGACAAGTCGTCAGGGGAGTGCTTCGGCATGAGGTTTGTGATGTTTTGCATCATGCAGCAGCTGTGAGGCTTCCTTCATGAAGACCGTGAAGCTTCGCAACGCCTATCCCCATTGGCCCAGGGCTTTAGAGTCAGACAGGCTTCGCCATGCTTCGCCTCTTGAAATTCCTGTCGGCAGCCTCAGGTGGGCGGACTTCGGGTGTTCTGTCCGTGGTGGAGTTGTCGTGGCGGAGCGCAGCGGCATTGACACGGAGGCGTTTTAGCTTGGTATTTGTGTGCTAGTGCTGCTAGTGACTGCTAGTGTGCAAGGCAGTAAGATGCTGTAAGATGCCGTAAGGTTCGGAATCAAATGGACTGTGCCGGGAGTTGCAGGGACAGAAAGCGTCACGTGCCACCACGATTTCTTGCAGGGTGAGTTGGAGCCCTGGGCCGTGCACATTCATGACCAGTCCTTATACATCATCGATGGCCTCGGCCTCGGCTTGTGTGCTTTGATGTGCTTTGATGACGTGGCACGACGTGCCTGGCACGATATGTCAAATGCAGTATCTGGATTCGGGCTTGTGCAGGAACTACTAGGAATGACGAAACCTAGTAGCCCTCTGTGCAGGCCGGGAGCCGTGCTGCGTTCTGCAGGTGCTGCAACGCCTTGACTTGAAACCCCAGTCACAGCCCCTGTCATGCCTTCATCGCTCGCTGCTTCTGTGGCCGGGTGTGGGAACGTGATGGAACATGGGGGAATATACGGTGTTGTCTCACAAGCAGCACATATCCAGGTTGTTTGAGTCGCTCTATGACGTATTCTCCGTTCAGGGCCATGTCAGGATGAATTCTGCAGGAGTTTCGCGGCCCAGGCGAGGATGACACTTCGAAGCCATGGCTCAGGGGCCTCCGCTGCGGAGGAGGCGCCGCAAGGTCCTGTCCGACGCGCGGTCATGCGGGCATAGCTTTTTTCAGGGCGAGGTTGCAGCAGCGGAGGTCCTATCAGGCCTCTACTCGTCGCTCAAGGGCTCTATCTTGGAGCTATCTGAATCCCTACGATGTGTCGTGGACAATCCGAAGGAGGAAGATGCAACGACTCAGGCAGCTGAACCCGTCCAAGTGGAGAGGCCTTCAATTGCCGTTCCCAGAAGCCCTGTGGCATGGCCCGTGTCATTCTGTTTTCCTGAAGGCTTACCGCCTCGCGTTGTGGCAGAGCTAGAGACCCAAATCCGTCTGGCCGCGTCGCCACATGTGTTGTTTCCGTCGCTGTTCAATTTCGTTTCGGGTTTTGATGGTGGTGTGACTTCGTTTGCAGTCCTGCAGCTCACTGATGCTGCGCTTATCGGAGGCCATATGCTTCCACTGTCGGCATGGGATATTGGGGCAGTTGTGAGCTCGCGGGTCTGCGGAGCTCTTTGCGGGTCCATGCTTCTACTTTGCACTTCGAAGGAGCCTTCTTCAAGAGACATTCTTATCTGGACTGCAGTGGGTCTCACAGCGATCTCGCTGGGCACCTTCTTTGTGAGAGATCGAAGCACGCTTCTGGCCTTGCGTTTCCTGTCTGGAATTACGGAAGGAGTGTCGTCCCCTGCGAAGGCAGCGTATGTTGTGGAGACTGTGGAGGCAGAGCTGCGGGGGCCTTCCAATGGGAGCCGTTGGGCCGCCTTTGCCCTGGGATCCTGTGCTGGAGTGGCTGCCGGCGCTGTGCTGCAGCCCATCCCGGGTGCCTGGCAAGTCATGTTTGGTGCCGTGGCGCTTCCATCTGTTGTCGCTGGGCTTGGAATGGCAGCACTTCCTCACTCTCCGCGGTGGTTGGTGCATGGTTCAGATGCAGGGGCAGAGCGACGGTCACTGGCTCTGGAGTCCTTGCAGATGCTACGACCCAGCATTGATCCGAAAGACAAGCAATTGCTACTACAGAAGGAGCTTGATATCATCTGTCAGGGTATGAGGGGAGACAAAGAGGAACCCGTACCGCTTAATGTGCGCGAGCTCTTGCAACATCCTGCGACGGAAATCAGCGCTCTTCTGACATGCTTCAAACAAGCAAATGGAACCATTTGCTTGACAACTTATTTGGCACCTGTTATGGCCGCTATGGGCTTCCAGAATCATCTCACCACACTTGGTGTGATATTGATGACGGTACCTACACCTGTTCAGTATGACATGGTCTGACTTTGTTTTGTGCCTTCAAAACAAAGCCAAAGACCGGTGTATTTGCTGCAGCTGAACTTGCCAAGGTTCGATCAGTTGCAACGCCGATGGGCATCTCAACGTCGAGCATTTAGAAGAATCCTTGGCTTTCACGTTTCCGGCTGGGATTCTCTCTCTTGTCCTGCAATGCAAGTCACGGTGCAAGGTATTGTCTTGATGGATCGGCTTGGCCGCAGAGGCTCGGCAGGTGGTGAGATCAAGTGTTGCTGTCGGCCTGTAGGCAAGTTCTGTGACTACGGTACACTCTGTCCTCAACTGGCTCTGTTCAAGTCGAATGCTCTCCTAGCTAATGTTTCCTGATGAGTGATATCACTTGATGACCACATGCAGCGGTAGCTCCGGTCGTGTCAGGCAGCTTGCTTCTGGGATGCTTGGGATCTTCAGTCTCCATGTCCACGCTGATGCTGTCACACGTCATAGGCGGGCCGCTTGTTCGTGGAAGCAACGCAAGCCGCGTATGCGATGGTAATTTGGCGCAGGCTGAGGTATGTACTCCACTCATCCACCGCAGCATGGTTTGTCATCACGTGTTGGTCGAGGACGGATTGTGACTTCTTGGATCTTCTAAAGTTCCGTGAATACAAAAATGGTTCCATTTTCCGGGGAGTCGATTTTGGCATGGCCTTCTTCCTTGGACGTACAGGGGCTTACACTCCAGCGGAGCCTTGGATCGTAGAATTCCGAAGTCCCGCTCGCAAAACGCCGACCCCTGGTCGTCAAACATGCTCTTGGCATTCGCAAAAGCACGGAGGCAGTTTTAGACCAACCGGCCTTTGCGTCTTGCGATCATCTTTCGCGAGCCGGGTTTGTGGGGAGGGGGGTGGGGAGATCGGCAAGAAAGTATATGGTGTGCTAATCATGCTAATCTCACATTGTAGTGGGCTTTGGTTTGAGGGTTTGGCTGGGCATGCTTGGCGTCCCTGGCTGGTGAGCCTTGCAGAGGCAGCCATGCTTCGACAGGCCTGATGACCTTGAGCCTCGGCAAGGACTGCTGCAGGTCAGCCTTACTTTGTTGAAATTTCATATTTTGTTGAACGTGGTGGTTTGCTTATGAATTGTGCCGCTACTTGGAAGAACTGGAGTGACAACTGAGGTCCTTCACTTCCTTAGCGGCCTCTGCGGCAATCTTTGAGCTTTGCTGGGCTCCAACATCCTTCCAACTTACCACTGAGTGCTTCGGCAGCAGTTTGGGTGGTCGTTTTGAAAACTTCATTGCAGTCCGGAGAGGTACGGAGTCGGGACAGGGTGTTGGGAGTCTGGATGACAGGCTTTACCCACAACGACTTCGGCAACATGGTCTGGCGCTCTCTCACGTCTTTAACTACGCTGTGAAGGCGATTGAGATGCAGGCGTGGTTGCCAGCAGCCCTTGTAGAACGTGAGGTGTGTTAGGGTCTGACGTGTTGCCCCTCCGTGGCAGGGGCAGGCCAGGAGGCTATCATCGAGAATGTTACACATGCCCTTATAGTTTCCCTTATGAAACTTATGAATGGTTAATTTTGACGCTGCGCGACCCGCCTCGGCCTGGCCGAATGCAACTTCCGGAGCCGAGGGACGTGGGGGGGGTTTAGGGAGGCGGGGCCTACTCTTGCCTATAAAACATATATTCAAGGGTGGGCTGCCTGCCTGCCAGACAAAGGGTGCAGTTCTGTTTTACGCTGAACACTGACTGGGTGGAGGGGGAGGTTTGGGGGGGGTGGGGGGGGGTGGGGTGGGGGGGGGGTTGGGGGTTGGAGGCCCTGGTCCTGTTGTGCCGTCCGCGCCGCGACCCCCGTTTGCTTCGGGGGGTGCCCATTGCAGGCAAAAAACGCCACATGAAGGGTGCACAACGAGCCGTTGGGGAGGGGATTAGAGGTGGGGTGCCTGCTTTGTGCCAACCATACACCTACGGCCCGAGGCCTCGGCGGATTCATTGGGAGTTCAAAATTCACTCAGATGAAATGGAGAGGTGTTCCCGATGGCCCTCGCCATGGCTGGGCTTACGCCGGTCTTCGCCATCTTTGCGGGCGTGAACTTTGCAGGGTCTTTGGTGGTGTACCACACAGTGCCAGAGACCTGTGGCCGTAGCTTGGAGGAGGTGGAGAGAGAGCTCCTGGAGGAGGACTAATTCTGGAAGCCCTGCCCGGAGCTACCGAAGCATCTGGTGGCATGCTGTCATCTGCGGGCAAATAAAGAGGTTGAGAGTCACTTGAGTGAGGTTTGCCCCCCTCTAGACAGCTGTCCTGCCCCCGCAATCTGCCACCCTCCATGCCAGTGGCCGCTGGGCAGCAACTGCGGCCGGGTCGTTGTGGGCAGCGGCAGCACGTTGCACCCTCAGCGTTATGGGAGATTTCATAGCTTTCAGTCGCCTGCGCAAGTTGATCTAAAGAACTCTCAGTCGAGCAGTCGTGACTACCTGCAGTTCCTGCCTACCTGATCTCCAGGCTCAGACAGGAGACTCTCGTGTCAGTTTCGCCTCGGAAAGTAGATGGCAACTTTCAAGTCTGTGATCTTGGCTGTGACGGCCTGGCTTGCATTTGCACTTGGCTGCCTTTGAAAGTCCCTGCCTGCAGCCATGGGACAAAGATGCTGTGGGTCCTTTGAGAAGCTCGGGGTTCCTCCGCTGCGCTGGCAGCCTCATGGGTTTTGGCATGTGGTGGAATGGATTTCCTTCTCTGGAATGACAGAAGCGCCAAGGAAGAAAGGCACTGGAGCTGTGCCCTGCCCAGAGAGAGGCAGCCCCTGACAAATCATGATTTGTGCCAACAGTGTCCAACCCCAAGCCCTCGGGATTTGTGGCAGGGCCATGCAGAAAATCAGTTTTAGGCCCTCGAACTGGTGTTGTAGGATTACTCCACTCCTTGCCCAACAACTTGGTTTTGGCCCTCAAGCTGCTGTTTGGGATGAGTGCAGTCCTTGCAAAAAGCCCAGATTTAATTGCTTATGCGGGCTTTTAGGCCTGATTCGTCCACTCCCTGCCCCAAACAACAGTTTGAGGTCCTCAAACAGGTTTGTTAGTGGATTTCGCTTGAGGGGGACCGGAAGACGTGTGTGGTTCCTGGTTCCGGGGAGCCAGAGGACGTCCGATTTGTATTTTCCGCTTCCTCCCTGCACAGATGGTTTTCAGGAGGTTAAGCCTCCAGGTTTTTGCCCTTCCCTCCCAAGCTAAGGGCTCCTCCTCCTGTTGATGTTGCCTCTCCTCCCGCCTGCATCCGCTCCACCCCTCTGAGCTTTCTTTGGTCGCGATTTCTTGCTCTGTTGATAGAGAGTGGCAAGTATTATTGATATTTGTATTATTTGTCGAGATGCCAGCTATTGACACTGTCATTGTATATGTTCGCTATTGGCACCGAAGGGGGTGAGCGCAGCAGTTGTCTCCACGCATGAAAATGTTCCAAATCTGCGCCGAGTATGCTCAGTTCATTTGTCTGCCCGTTCAAAACTAGTCAGTCGGCGCCTATATACATGTGCGAGTCAAACCTTGCCCTCTGCTCAGCATGAAGGATCCCAAACTGCTATGTTTATACAGAGGTCCGACACAACAGCTTCCTTCTGCGACACAGATCCTACGTATTCATACTATGCATAATCCATGTTGCTGTAAGCAGTTAGGCATTCAATGCTTGCCCCAAGCTCAAGGCTAAATGGCGTCAATGACTTCTCTGTCGGAACCTTATGGCATCGGTGTTGCATCTTCCACGTCTTCCCAGTGGCAACACCACTACAAGTGTGCCTGCATGTGCTGCGATTGACCGAAGAAGGAGCCTTCTGCATAGCACACTCGAGCTTGTGTAGCCGCAGGACATCATCGATATCGCCATCGATGCTTGTGGGGATCTCTATGCCTGCAGCCCGGTCGTCGGTCATGATCTCAACCCACTTGATAGTGCGAGATTAGTCTTCGAGGTGCTCGATGGGCAGCACGGACGCATCGTCAGGCCAAGCCATTCCATGCTCTTCTCGATGGGAAGGATACAGCAGGTTGTTCTTCTTGGGCGGAATGTCAGAAAGACTTTGTCTGAAATCGCATCTGCAGTACCCATGGGAGGTCGACAAAGGTAGGAAAAAAGGCAGGACAAAGGCAGGACAAGGGTAGGACAAGGGTAGGACAAAGGCAGGACCAAGGTAGGACCAAGGTAGGGCAAGTAAAAAAAGCTCTGGCCATGGCATGCCATGGCGGTGGCACTGGGTCTATTTGGTTCACCCTCTCGAGACCACGTGCTTTCACTGAGTAAGTGGCCTGCACCCATAGCAAGGCCTGGAGCAAGGCCCAGTAGGACTTGCAGGCCAGCTGTGCTGGTGGGAGTTGTTGCAGCCTGCAAGGCAGCCTGCGTGGCTGCAGGACACAAACGGAGGGTGATATGTTGCTGGCAGGTACGAAAGCTAGGCCTCAAAGTCAGTGCCGCGTCGGATGCTCCAAGTTGGAAGGCAGAAGCTTCTGGCTCCGTGCCTGATCTGCCTGTACCCTCGCTGTCACTCCGTGAGTTCTTGTTGGGGCTGGACCATGGGAAGTACGCACGGCCCTCACGCCTACAGGGAATACAGCAACAGCCGGCCAGCTCTGAGGATTCTGTGAGGGAGGACCAAAGGTCTGGACTCCAGCTCCAAGAGCCCTCCCGGCCTTGCCTCGAACATGGAAACCATGACGCCCGTGCATTGGAATCATCGGAGTCATCGCAATCATGGGTCAACGGCGTGGAAGATTTTTTTGTGGTGGCAGACTGGAGCGACTGGGCTTTCGAGGTCATGGAGAGGGGCAGCGGCTCTGGAGAGACTGAGCTGAAGCTGGAGGTTCAGCTGCGCCACACAGGTGGGGAGTTCCAGATTGTTTGTGACAAGGACTGGTCTCGTGTCCTCTACCCCGGCGAGGCCGGCGAGGCCGGCGAGGCCGAGGCTCTTGGTCCCGATTCTGGGGGGCACGGAAGGAACTGGTCCCTGAACGGTCAAGCAGGAGACAAGTTCTTGCTCCGGCTTCTTCTAAGACACGACGGGCCTGTGGTGTCGTGGGAGTTGGTGGAACCCGGTGTGGAGGATCACGAGTATCAGGATCCTTACCTAGGCCATTCTGGCCATGAAGCCCGGGGCTGGCAGGAGGCGATCCAGCAGCTGGAAGAAGTGAGGCGGTGGGGACAGGATCACCAGGTGCGAAGCTTGCGAAGCGAGGCCCTGAAGTTGTGTGGCGAGGCAGGAGCCTCTGCGCCAGCATTGCAGCTCTTGGAGGAGATTTGGTCTGAAGACAAGCAGGCCAATGAGCCCAGTCAGGCCGACTACCAGGCGGTGCTCAGGGCCTGCGAGCTGGATGCGCTGGGTGGGGAAACGGCGCGGGAGGCCGGGGCTGCCATCAAGCAGGAGATGGCTGAGCGAGGCGAGGGCCAGCCAGATCGATTCTGTCTCACGCCACGTGTCTGGTGGCATCGGGACGTCCGGAGGATGGGCTGCGGAGCCAATAACACCCTGGATTGGCAGGGAGGCGATCCCCTTCCTGTACCCCCGACTGCGCGCTCCTGGCTTCTACCGGCCTCAGACACAATGGCCGTTGAAATTGCCCAACAGCAAGATGCACTGAGGGAAGCAGGATGGATGGTGCTTTCTTGTGATCCCAACATCGTGCGGCGCCTCGACGACAAAGTCTCGTTGCAGGCTCTCGCGCGAGATTCTGGCTTGTGTGCATACTTCCCTGAGCGCTTCGCAGTTCCGGAGCTTGCATCGTACCCTTGTATTCTTAAGCCCGCAGCAGGAGAGTTCGGTTCCGGAGTTCAGATCGTCTACTCGCCGGAATCTGTGCGTCGAATAGCAGGCCTCGACTCTGGGGAGTTGACCAGCCAGTGGCTCTTGCAAGAGCTGGTAATCGGGTGTTATGAATACTCAACATCGCTGTTGGTTGTCGATGGACGGATCTTAGAGAAAGCTTGCATTCGCTACAAGTACGATGCCGAGGAGTATGTTTGGCCAGACGTGACTGAACTAGCAAAGGAGCTTGTCGAGCCATCTGAGTTGGAGATGAATGTGATGCAAAAGCTGGTGCAGGGATACTCGGGTTTCGTGAACTTTAACTACAAGTTCCGACAAAGGGACGGACAAATGCTGATTATGGAAGCCAACGCCCGAGTTGGTGCGGATCTGGCTTGCGACGTCCCTCGCCCTCATGCCCGCAGCATGCTGGAGATGTTGGATCGAGGTATGTATCGTGGCCAAGAAAATGGGCTGGATCTGCAGCCACAGTGAAAAAGGCCCAACTTGCTCGCTTTGTCGTCTGCTGGGGTCACCACCAAAGCTTCCGTTGTCATAAGGTTGCCTTCCGTGTTTGAATTCATTCATCCAATGCAGCCCTTGTAGGATGCAACGGGCATGGTCGGCTTTAGCCGATCCGCAAGCTTCAAAGACTCTACTTCTAAAGATCCCAGAACGCCCTAAAACCCTCTTCAGTTCAAGGGGAGTTCACATGCGTTCACCATGAGCAAAGCTGGGTGCTTTGCTTCGGAGGATCCGTGATGGCGTGGGCGAGGTGGTTGGCGCTGGGCTCCTTGTCGCTCTGATTAGTCCTTAATGGCCTGAAGAAGCTCACGCAAGGTGATGAGTGATACCGAGTGATACATGATGTGTTCAGCCAGGGGCAAGCCAGCTCGCACACAGAGAGTTTGCAGAGTGCACCGAGTGCAGAGACACATTAACATGGACTCACATGAACATAGCATGAACACAGCATGAGCATAGCATGAATATGCTTCTGAAATGAAGTGCAGGAAGCTGTGCCTCGACGTCGGGACGCGCGCCCTGTACATAGGCCTGCTGGGCAGAACTGCTTAGGTTTGCCCTTTCTGAGCCTTTACCCTGCCGATGGGCCACCAGGTGTGGATGGCTCCATTTATTTCATTGATGAGAACGGCTCACGTGTGCAGCGGTGCGTGGGCGGTCGGTTTGCCATGATCTAAGCTGCCTGTTAGAGACTGATTGCCACGTACTCCTATGACCCCTGTGGAGGTCAGTATGAGGTCAGTGTTACTCTTGATGTGGCTGTTTATGGCTGTCATGGCGGCAGGTACTTTGATGGTCACACCACATCCGTGGCGGGGCGCCAGGAGAGTGGCAGCGAGGCGTCGCAGCTGGAGGCCAGGTTGGTGGTGCAGTGGTCCACCTACGTTTCGTTTCTGGTTCTGCGCGAGGATGCCGAGGACATCTTCGTAACTCGCGAAGGACGCTTCGGGCTGTCAAGCCCAAAGTTGCAGCGGGGATGCAACGGGGGTTTGACATGATTTGGGCGGTACATTGGTAGTGCATTGAGCGAGTTGAGACCAGGAGTGCTGTACGTGTCCGACAGCGGCAACAATCGCATTCAAAAGCTTGGACCCCAGAGTGATGTGTCAATGCTTGAGAGTATTCTAGAGAGTATTCTGAGTGTGTCTTCCAGGTGGCTGCCTGGAGCAACAGAGGGTGTGACAGTGGCTGGTGGCAATGGCAAGGGCTCACGCTTCGCTCTCAAAAGCTTGCACGCAGATGTGTCCGCTTGCGCTGCACACGCAGAAGCTGGGGGCATTGCGCGGAGGCTTGGATCAGCTGCAGCACCCCGTGGGCCTCCACATCACTGAGGACCTCGATACTGAGTGTTAAGTGTATGCGTATGTTGCGACGCGCTATGACATGCTGCGGCATCACGTTGGCAAGACTGTGTCAGGACTCTACCATCTACATAGCCGACTACCAGAACCATCGCATCATGAAATGGCGAGAAGGCTCTTTTGCCGTCATCATTGACCCCAGATTAAGATTGAGTGCATGCACCAGGCTTGAAACTAAACGTGCACGCCATCTCAACTTGCTTGAACGCCTCGCCTTTCCGTTCATCTCTGCCTTGGCGAATTCGAGAAAAGCGCGAGATTGCCAGGCTGGCAGCATGGGTTGGTGGTTTCCGGTGGCCAGGGAAACGGCGACGAGCTGTACCAGGTGCTGCCGCATGTTGCCCTTTGAGACGGGTAGCCTCACGCCAGGCGTGCAACTTCGCACTTCCAGTATGTTGCAGTTTCTGAACGTTTGGGGCTGGTTTGAGGTGAAAAGCCTCAGCTGTGATGCCTCACGCCGCGGCTCAGCACCAAAACACCCCTTTCCACAACCAACGAGGCAACAAGGACATCAGACAAGAGTCATAAGTGGCCAAAACGACGGCATTCAATTGTTTCCTTTTCAGAAGCGTGCAATGCTGGGCATCAGCTGCCATTGGGCCATTGAGAGTCTCGCCTCACTCGAAGTGTTCCGAGCAATGGCATATTTCTCTGCTGCAGCACAGAGGTCATGGGTGGGAATTTGTGGTTTGAATCTTGAAGGGTTGGGAGTTTATGCCAGTTCATGCCAGTTCTCTTCCAGATCTGCCATGATTGCCAGTTGGATTACGGAATGTTGATGGATTTGCGACAGGACTTGCAAAAACCACTGCAGTGAGTCACAGTTGCAGTGGTGGGTTCGTGCAGGTTTCTGCCGGAGGACGCAGGCCTGCGAGTTTGGCGAAAGGTTTGCATCCGTAGTCAGAGCCGCAGCAACGCATTGGCTTCCGGAGAGTTTACATTGACCTTGGAGAGCAGCCTGTCGTAAAGCACTCAACCCCACCAATGAGAGAAACAACTTCGGCACACTCACCATCAGTTGTCTTGTGAAAGGCTTGTCTACCCTTGAACCAGAATGCAACATCGGTCAGGCCTGTCTTACAGCGGCGAGGAGGTCTTGCTCTCTATCACATGTCATGTCAAAGAGCACTTCGGAAGTGGAGATGTGTCTCGCTCCCTCTCTCGTTCCTGAGGAAAGGTTGGATGCTGTGGTGCTGGAGGCAGTTCTTGCTCTCGCTCCCGCTCCGTCTCCCTCTCTGTCTCTCTCTCCATCTCAGTCTCTCTCTCTCTCTCTTCTGCCGAACCACGCCGTGCCTGCTGTGCTAGTTTACGGTCAGCGCTGACATGACGCTTTAAGCTTCGGCTTTGACTTGGGCATGCGGATCCTCTGTCCCTGTTACGGCGAATCTAACGGAAGAAGTGTTTTCTTCATTTTCAGGTGCGCAGCCCGCGATCGGGCTCAGCACGGTTTCCGACACCCTGGCTCGCCCGCTTCGTGGCCACGGAGACTTGGCGAGTGTGTACAATCCCCAAGGCGAACTCTTGATTCAACCCTTTCCCCCTTTCCCAGCTGATATCCGAGAGTTGGTTGAGCAAGTCGACTTGTGGTCAGACAAGGAGAGCAAAAACAGTTGGAGACGATGCGAGTGGGGTGCACAGACTCGCATTTAGCATCGCGCAGCCTGCGAGGAGCTTGGCTTGACACTGCTCGCGGGTGCCGCTGGCAGTGCGGGGAGCACGGCCTCGGCCTTGCTGCCTTAACATTGAAGTACTTTTTGTTCCCCTTTCAATGTGTGGAAAGACTGTTTGCTGGCGGCTCGACCACCGGCATTTTAATGTGGGCGTTCTCCGCATGTGCAAAACTCGACATAGTCACAGTATGTCACAGTCGCAGTCGTCTCAGGTGGGATACCTGTGCCTGGCCACACTGCCGCTTTTCGCCGCGTGCTTCAGGCAACGACACGGGGCAAGGTCCGATACTACTTGTTGTCTGCTTTAGTTTTCGTACATGACAAGGTCTTAAGTCTTAAGTAGACCGGTATTTATTAGAGACCGCCAGTTCCCTCAATCCACCATGGCCAGTGTTTCATCAAAAGGCGAAGTTCTGATGACCTGTGTGCAGGCAAGAGATGCATCAGCTGCTGCACAAGCAGCACTGCCCTGAGAGACAAGTTGACTCAAGTCTGGGAGCTCACAGCTTGTGGTGATGCCATGCTCCTCCTTGCAAGCAAATGCAAGAAAGCACCGCGAGCAACCACTAGCAGGCCCCACAGCGAGGATGTAGAGACCTGGCAAGCTCAGCAGCGACTCTCCTGCATTCCGGCTTTGGAGAATTCGCATTCTTTTTGTGCTGCCTGCTGTGCCCCTGGCATGCTACATCATGCTACTCCATTCTCAACGGTGAGGCTTTTCCTCCACGGCGTGTCTTGCTTAGCGGCCATCTTCCAGGCTGCGGGTGCTTCTTGCAAGTTACTTTTGCAGGGGCGCTTTCTGGATCTTTAAGCGATCTCTGCATCCAGGGTGTTGTTTGATTCCAGGCATGTCAGTACAGCAGCGCTTGCTTTCCATCTTGTCTTCGGGCATTCGGGCAGAGGTCTTCTTTCAGCTTCTCAAGGGCCCCTCCTTTAGTTGGGTTTGCGATCAGACATGGATGCTGCATGCTGGGAAGAGGTGTGTCCTTGAGCTCTGGTACCGGAAGGTCTCTTGCCTGCGACTCGCAGAATTTGTCGCGTCGAAGCAGGAGCTGCTCTTTGCAGAGGGGGCTCAATGTACACGGGCACCCCATGGGTCTCCGGCACGGGTTGACAACGGCCGCGATCTGCTGCTCCTGCTCGGTTGCTTCTTTTTGCTGTTTGAAAGCCTCACGCCCAATTTCAGGGAATCAAGAGGATGGGCTTCTTTTTGCCGGCATGCTCCCGACATCCCAAAAGGCTAGATCTTAGAAGTACAGCGCTCTACGTCGAACCTGGAGTCGGGACAAGTCTCGAGACAGTTGGAAAAGTGTTGGAAAGATCACAGTCTGGCGGGGTTTCTGTGGTTTTCTTTGGGGAATCGGGGTTGTGTCATGCATGCTGTTGCTGGCGGGCAGTTGGCAGTTGGCACGAATGGCCCCTCGAGATATCACTGAGTCATATGAGTCGGTCCAGGTGGAAGCTCAAATTTGAGTATTACTGGTAGCAGTAGCTTACAGCTTTCACGCTTCTTTCCATCTTGTCCTAGGAGCTGCAAATGCAGGGAAACTTGCTGTGCCAATGATGCATGAAGCAGGACTTGGTGTTTCCGTCCGCTCTTTGCTTTGTCTTCCTCAACATAGGCCGGGTTCAGTCTTGCCCACACGTGCAGTGGTACTTATTTAGGGAAGCAGGCCGCGCTCGTCTTTGGCAAAGATTCGACGATGCTCCTTTCGCCTCGCGTTCGCGGCAAGGTTATGCTTTTGCAATGGTCGCTGCGAAGGTCCTGCAGGAGACCTTTGGTTACGTGATGTGATGTGTCACCACCTCTACCAACAAGAGCTACGCGATGCCTGGCAGACCTGCTCATCGTATGTTGTGCGATACGCGAGTCACTTCTTGCGCTTGAAAATAGACTATGCGTGTTTCTGCAGGAGATCATCTTGCCCGCCCGGAAGGGCGATGCATCCCCGGAGGTCTCAGTCGTGCAGGCGAGAGATGGCGAGAGCAGCCTGTGACCTTTGTGCAAACCAGGTAGACTGGTAGACCAAGTCGGATGTCTGCCCCGTTAGGGATGCAGCGCTAAGCTATCAATCTGAGTAAGATCGACGACCATAGTCTGCAGCTGTTTGTGAGCGTGCTCGACACTCCGGCAATGCGCTGAGTGGGCGCCAACTTTTCAGAAGATCAAACCGATGGCAAGGAAGAATTTTGTGTCGGGGCGTCCTAGCACGTGCGAACGCATTCAGGTCACTGAAGCCACAGCAAGAGCTGAGGACTGAAATCGTTGTGTCAAACACCAGCATCATGTACAGCGGCTTAGAGGCTTGTGTCAAGGCTGAGAACCCATGCTATTCGGTCTTCAGACAAGCGGTCGCATTCAGAGGAGCTGGCTGAAGCCTGCTCCATTTGCCTTAGGCGCAAGCATGTGCAAATCCTGTGAGATGTGCTTGTGGACGATGCTTGTTCTACTCATATTTGCCAATGTGCGGGCACTTGGAAGTGCGGAGCTTTTTGCTTTGGACACAAGCTGAAAGCCACGGGTGCGTGTCCCGGGGTCGCAGGCCTCTGGGCATTGGCGAACCACTTAGACGCCTACACTGCGGCCACGTGACACGGCCGCAGGCTCTCCATGACCGCACAAACCTTTGCGAATGAATGGCAGCATCAGGTTCTGGAAGCCTGCATGAGCCAAGGCATTTCATCGTCCTTGCATTGAGGGATGGCTGCACAGTGGTGCCTTCCTGAGTCAGCTACACCAGGCACATTTGAGCGGCGGGGGACTGTCTTTTTGCGGCTTGTGTTTTTTTGTAAAGGCCCCCGATTCTGTTGTTTTTTCGTGCGCGCGATTTATGTTCTTTTTTGCGGGTTTAGGGTTTTTCGATGAACATGCAGCGGAAAGAAAGGCTCTTCTATTCGACTATAGAGGAAATAGAGGTTTCCTGTTTAATCACAGAGGATAGAGTTCATTTTCTGGAGGTTTTCTTCTCAAAACATGAAGGAAACATGGATTTTTTTACGCAAATACAGAGGAAATAGAGATTTCCTATTAACAATCTAGAGGAAATGGAGGTTTTCCGAATAGAACATATGGGAATCGAGGTTTAGAACGACAGGGCCAAAGAGACTACAGAAAGAACGATTGAAAGAAATACAGAGAGAAAGAACGAAATAAAGAAGGAAGAAGAAGAAGAGACAAGACGAAAGAATTAACCCAAGAAAGAAATCAATCAAGAAGAATATCCAAATTCAGAAAGAACGAAAGAATGAATAAATAAGAGCATTACACATATATATATATATATATATCCATACAGAAAGAAACACATATTTCATGCTTTCCGGGCCGCGAGTGTGCGCCCTCCCAACCCGCCCGCTTTTTCCTTTGAAGCCTGCAAGCTTGACTAGCTCTTTTCAGGCAACGTGTCCAGATGAAGCGCGCTACATTCTTCCCGCCGTTAAGTTGGCATAGCATTCGTGACGGACTAATGTTAGGCTGTGAACTTGTGTTTTCGTGCTGTTTTCTGACGCGGCCCACTCCTTTATCGGACTCTGGCCTCTGTGATATCTGAGTCTTTTTCTCGCGTAATGCTGCCAGAGCAAAACAGAGCAAGGCGCCATTTCTCGTGACACGCGGATTTGTCGGCTCCTCATTGGTGAATTGGTGAAGTGCAGCTGCAGTGTGCAGCATGGGCCCGGTTCATCAGCATATTGGCATACGTGGGCATACGTGCCACCAATGGCATGTTCGCTTAGGCCCTCTGCGCTGCGAGAATCCGCCGCAGGCTGAAGCTTTGTGGCAAGTACGTAGGTGCAAACCCTTCAACCATTGGAACACATTCTCAGCACAAGCCCTGGTTTGCAGCCGCCGCCCCCGCGGCCGACAAATCGCCAGCGCTTGGCTGCTCTGGGTGGTGCTTGAGGCAGTCAGGGATGCCCTGTTTGTTCTCAATGTTGGCGCAAGTCTATATTCTTCACGACTAGGTGCTTTGAGCAGGGGCTCCCATACCGCAGCGTGGTATTCGAGCCATTGGGTCTGCCCAGGCCTATGCTGACGCACAGCTCATGCGGGCTTTCGGGCCGTGCGGCCCTCGACCCCTGCGGCAGCTGGCTAAGACGACGTGATCCGCTTGTGTATGCTTGTGTGCAGTTTTCTTTCGTCATGGAGATTGCTGACCCGACCATGCTCTTCCAAGGGCTCTGCGAGCTTGCACCTGCCGAGCTCAACTCCAATTCGCTGCGCAGCGGAAGACCGCGAGACCCCTCTGATGTTGCAGCACGACCGAGCTGCGCTTCAGTTGCAAGGGCAAACCGGACAAACCGGGCAAACCTCGAGGATGGTCGCCCCCACGAAGAAGCCCACATAGTATCACACAGTGCCATACAATGCCACAAAGTCTTAGATGTCCCTACAGGGCTGATTGCGGAGGGAAATCCGACTTGTGCCACTGCACCCAGAGGCAGAGCAGTGTTTGCAGCATCGTACCCGAGATTCAAAGGTCCTGTACTTTGGAGTCGCCTGTGGTTCGCCAGAATCTCATGTACAGAGGAGATGACTCCTATCTTTGGTTCAGTGGTAAAACCATTGCCGCTCATCGGCCTGGCAATTCTTTGGTTCTTTGGGAGGCTAGTTATCAGTGGCTGTTCTTCGGCAACCAGCAAGCAATCGCTGCAGTTTGCCAGGGTGGTGGGTAATTGACCATGCGCTGGTCCTTGCACGCGAGCTGGGAGGTGACGTACTCGAGTAGTTGGGAAGTGACGCACTCAAGTAGCTGGTGTCGAAGCCTATCTCGGTCGGTCACATGCCAAGGTCGTGGTCTACACATGCCTACACTATCACATCTGTTCAACAATTCGCGCAAAGCTGCAGTCATGTCAGATCATAGGAGCTTGTTGCTAAACCATTGCTGACCGTGCTTCAGATGGTACTACTGACGTTGGTACTAGATGAGGCTACGCGCACGGTCATGTCACTTGGGCCGGCGTTCTGGTGTTTGCTTTTGGGCTGTACAGCGTCGTCATGTGTGCTAGACTGTTTTACCGTGTGTCACGTGTACACTCTGATGAACCTCCAAGCGATTGAGGGAATGATACGGCTGTTCTCAGTCACGGCCCACAGAGGCCAAGCAAAACTTTCTCTGACTGTTAGCCTTTCTCCTACACATCATGAAAGATGGCTTGACAGCTTGCACGGAAGCAGTGAAGGCCTGTCGATCATGGCTTTTGACTCTATATGACACACTTAGGACTTAGGAATAGAAAGCTCTGGTGCTCCGATGAGCTGCTTGGAATGAGAATCCAAAGCTCAAACAGCCAGACTGCTTATCCTTGTTGGCCTGGTGCCTACCTGTGGCGGTTGAAACAGCGGGGTGCTGCAAAGAAGCCTGGCACGCAAAAGGTGCCGCCGCGAAATAGACATGGTCGTGTCAGGATGATTTTTCAAAAGTCCTGGAGTGCACCTGGCAAAAGGGTGTGGGGCGGACAGGCCCAGGAAAAAGGAACGCATAGCAAAGAAGGAACCTTCAACACAGGCCGGAAGAGATCCACACATGGGGGGGCTCTGGTTGAGGTGCAGAATTTGCCGGGGCTGTGCACTCAGTGCACTCCTCCGGGATGGGAAGTGTCGAAGCATCTGAGCCGAAAGTCAGTTCTTGAGAAGTTCAGTACATTCGCGTGCTTCTCCACCCGGGACCGGTGTTCAGAAGTGAATTCGTCCTCATGGCCAGAAGTGCCCACTGTAGCGAGAGAAAAGGTGTTGATGCCTCTGTGACGAGTCCTGTATAGTCTAGCAGTCTAGCAGCTTTACATCATTGCACAGAATTTTTGCAGCTGCAGCAGCGACTACTCACAATTCTGCTGTTCACAAACACGTGACGTGTAGCTTAAACAATGAGCGGCGGGCTTGACTGGCACAGTCCCAAACAAGCTCAATACAAACCCTTTGCAACGTTTTGCAATGCAGCGTCTCTGGGGCCTGAACTTGGGTCTCCATCACTTCATGTCACTTCCGTCACTTCAGTCACTTGGGTCATTTCCGTCTTCTATATTGTCTAAGTGCTCCAACTGCCAGCGTCTGCCAGCTCTACGAGCCCATCGATGTGACCTTCGACTCCCAGGGAGCTCTCTACGTAGCAGACAACGGCGCGGAGATGTGCGGAGGGAGAGAAGAAGCGACTGAGGAAGTGGGGCATCAGGCAATGTGCGCCCAACTGAAGAGTCTCCCGTGCGAGGCAACGCGCGAGTTGCCAGCACCCAAGAGTGAGACACATGCCAGGTTTGCATTGCCTGTCATGTCAGCACGCTGAAGGTTCCAGCTTCGCAGGGACGGCCATGTTGTAGCAGCAACATCAGTTGCAGAATGTTGCGGAAGCACCGCTAGGTGAGATGGTGCGCACCATCTGTGCCTTATGAGCAAATCCTGCTGCTGTGGCGCGATTGTGGGTTGAAGAGAGGGGATGGTAGTCAATATGGCAAGCATGCGTGGCCCAAGTGAGGAGTGGTTGCCAGTCGTCATCTTGTGGTTTAGCAGCTGCTCTCCGCAAGATCTCCCCAAGCCTGTGTTCCAACCGAAGATTGCCGCCAGGCCATGCACGTCCGTGTTCTGAGAGTCAGTTGCCGTCCGAGTGACTTTTCTGGCTTTGCGAGTACCTGTCCAAGACATTTTTCACCCGAGACGGTAGATGTATTTCCCAGGGCGAGCTCGGGATTGTTCCTCAACTGCAAACTTTGAATGTTCTGTGTGAGTACTCAACTTCAGTGCCCTGCTCCGCGAATTTGCTTTGGACGATGTCAGTTGTGTTTGCTTTATTTAGTCAGTTCGTCGCCTCCACAGAGACGACGGGTCCAGTCAACAGCACGTCAGGCACCCGAAAGCCAGTTGTTTGAGCTTCGTTCTGTTTTATGCAGCGTATGCCAGTACTCGGGTACATGATCGTGCTGTGGACGTGTACATAGAGTTGTCAGCTCATTCTGGTAAAGATGAAGCATTTTCATGCGTAGAGCCCCCAAAGAGTCTGTAGAGCCCTTAGAGCCCTGAGAGCCCTCAGAGTCCGTAGAGCCCGAAGAGCCCTCAGCCTGAGATCCCTTAGAGCCCTTCGAGCCCTTAGAGTCCTTAGAACTCTTAGCGCCCCTCAGAGCCCTTAGCGCCCTTAGAGCCCTTAGAGCCTTCAGAGCCCGTGTTGTCTGGTCTCACAGGGGTAGTTCCGGGTGGGGGGGAAGGGGGGAATTGGTATGTTGTGGTACATCAGTGTCGCAAAGCATGACATGATGCAGCAAAGTAATGTAAACGCATGTTTGTTGTTTTAGACAGTGCTGCGAGCCTTTTTCCAAGCTGTGCTCCGTGCAGCCATTTTCTGTCATGATGCCAAGATGCAGGAGCTGTATACATCATGCGTAGTCTCTGCAAAGGGATCCTTTGGACATGTCAAGATTGCAGATGTATTCCTTTTACGGGCGGATGCTAAGTCAGCTGCATTGATCCGTTAAGGGTAGCTCAGGTATTTTAATGTGAGATCTGCAACTTGTGCAGATGCAACTCCCGAGACGAGTGAGTATACTTTTTCGTAGCATGTGCTATGTGCATCTTCCATCATACATGTGACCGCATCATCAAGCCTTGCGCTCCACAAGGCTGACCTAGAGTGATGGCACATGCTGCTGGGTTGCATCCAAGAAGCGATCAGTTCCTCGAGTGGACCTTGATGGCGGTAAGGACGAGGAGGAGTTACCTGAGGCCAGGGGGGCGGGGAAGGGACGGTCAGAGCCTTTGGACTGGTATTTGAGAAGCGATGATGTTATATTGATTTAAAGGTGCCCGCACGAATTTTGCTTACGACACCGGAAAGACTTGACATGTTGCCGGCCCCCACATAGTCACACAATACTGAATAGCCCGACAAGCGGGTCGCAACATTGTGCTGTGTACCATGCAGGACGACTCTGTGGGCATCGCGCTGGGCCCCGCTCCAGCACCAGCTGTTGACGGAGAAGGTGATGGGTTGAGAGGAGAGCCGGAGTCTAACTTGCCACTCCTACAAGTCTTTGTCTCTCCTAGGAGATGCCGCGTACTGCTACTTGATTCTCTTCAACCTCAACAAGCGCAACAACCTGGGAAGCCTGGGCACAGCTTTGGCTAGTCGGCTAGTCCTTTTGAGTCCTCGGACGCGGCTTTATTTGTAGGGAGTTCAAGGGAAGGCCCAAGCAATGCATCGGGGCGTTCCAGGGAGTGCCCAGGGCGGTTCACAGTGATTCTGGAACCGGGCAAAACTGGGCCTCTAGGGAGTGGCCACATACCCCGAGAGGCATGATGAATGAGCATCGTTGGTACTCATGTTGCCTGAGTTTGTGGCCCATAGACAGATTCACAAAGCAAGAAATGCTGGTGTTTGAAATCCGTATCGGCCCATGGGCCCTAGACGCTTACAGGGTCAGAGCGGAACAGATCCAAGGAGCATGCCTTCGCTCGGCTGCGGCTTTCGGGGTACGCTTAGTGGAGACCCTACTGGCAAGCGACGTGCAGATTTTGATGTTGGGCTCATGAGGTTAGCCTTGCAGAATCTGGGATGGCGACGTGCACATTGTACCGTAAATTGCAGAGCCTCCGGCAGCAGGGGGAGCAGACTTCCCGGTCCCTGTCCTTGCTCTTTGCTCAGGTGATGCTTGTCGGCCGCCAAGGCTTCAAGGCGGCTGAACGAATTTTGAGGTTTTTTGTTGCTGTTCAAGGTTCTGTGCCTGGTGCGGAGGCCTTCTGCAAGAAGAGTGGCCAGGGAGCAGTCCCCATCGAGCACGCTGCGACCATCGCACAGGCCGTCGAGGCGCTGAAGGTGGGGAGACCACAAGAGGGAACACAAAACAAGACTCACCGTGAAGAATGATGGCGCTGCTGAACCTGTCAGAGCGATGTTCATGTGTTTCAGTGCAGGGACAGCTGTGGGTAAGAGACTATAAGAGACCACAAGAGACCAAGAGAGCCAAGAGCAAAAGAAAGGCCCGGCACCCTTCGGGCCGCCTTTCCGTGTGCGGAGTGGAGATTCTGGAGCAGGACCTGCCGTGTGTCCATAGGACATGAAAAAGGATTGCTCTGAACATGTGGCACCCAAGGAGCTGTAAGTGCAGGAAAGTGTGCTTGTCCGTGCGAGAGTTTGTGGGGCGTTGTTGTTTTACTCACAAGCTCTGCTGGGCGTGGGCTTTCATGCGGAGGCCCAATCACTTCACCAGTGCCCTTTCCGAGGGCCCACGGCCTTCATGCTCGGAAATGAAAGAGGAGGCAGCAGATGGAAACATTGGAGTGGCTTGAGTCAGAATTAGAGGAGTCTTTTGGAAGCTTTGCAGGCCTCACCCGTGACCAAATCGCTCACTGCGACAGCTCCTGAGCAGCAAATGAGTGCATTCATGGCACCCAATGCCGTTGATGTTCGTCTGAGGCTTTGTCTACATCCCGCAATTTGGGGGAGGCGTTGGCAGCTTGAATCCTGGCAGAGGCAGTATGGGTGCTGCGGATGCTCTCGACTGATGCCATGTTCAGATGTGCGTGCTTTTTTTTGTGGAAAGGTCTCTAGGAACGCCAGGAACGTAGGTCCGCCGAAGCTGTCCCAAGCTTGAGAAGATGGCCACCCAGGAATGTTGCTTGCGCTTGCAGTGTGGTTCGCTCCTTGGAGTGCTGGGACCGCGCAGTCCAGTACAGTATAGGAATCTCGTTAAATAATGTTAAATACGTAACATTATACAAAGCAAAGTCCTGACACTTCACCACCCCGCGAGGTTCTGTACCAATACAGTGCCTGGGCCAGTCAGGGCCATGGCTTAGGCTTCCCCGAGGAGAGCTTTCCAACGCCGCTTCCAGCGCCACTTGTGCATCCGCAATGACATTCGCTGCTAAGACACGCTGTGTGCTTCAGAGGACGCGCGTCCTTCCATGCCGGCTCCGCATGGCGCTGGCAGCTTTGTGCTTCGTGGCTCAAGACCTATGCCGCCAGCGCTCGCAGGCAGCGCAGTTGGCGAGTCAGGCGCGTCTGGGAAGAGTGGTGGCAGAGCTGTGGGCGATGCTCCATAATGCCTGAATTCGTGATAATATCGGTTGTTCTCCGTAACTACAAAACGTATTGCGCAGTGTTGCTCTTGCAGTCTTGCAGGGCATTTTCCATGAGTGTGCAGATTTGCAATGATGATCCCGGGGTTACCTGGCCTTGGATTCATTTCCAACATTCCAGGTGATATATGTGGTTGATGACTGTCCTGTTGACATTAATCATCATAAGCGACGTTATCTACTGGACTTGTGCGTTATTGACACCAACGCGGCTCACCTCGGTGCGGCCCACCTCGGTGCGGCCTGCAGGGAGACATCAGACAGCAACTGGGCATGTGATGTCGCGGAATCTCACAGCGCGGAAGAAGCCTCTATCCAGGGTGCAGAGCCGAAACCCCCAAACACCTCAAAACCCAAATGCCACCAGGCCGAGTCTGCACCCTGACCACAGGGCCACCAAGGCATCCAAAACAGACTTACACGACTGGCCCAATGGAGGTGCGGGTCGGGGGTCATAGGAGGTCCAGAGCATTCGTCGGCAGATCTAAAGGGGGCTGCGCTCACTCTCATAGTGGTCATACCGTAGGGGGAGAAACTACATCGTCCATAAGGGTCCCAGAAGGGGTGATAGTGCAGCAGGGATCGGGCCCATACAGGCCGTAACGGTGCAAGGGATCCTGACCTCGGGGGGCCCGCTTTTGCCACAAGTGCCGCAACCACCAGGAAGGTGGGTTGTTCTTTACTCCAAGCGGCTTGGGCCTGGGGCCTCGGCAGGTTTTCCTATTGTCTTGAGCAACGTCTATAACTCAGGGAAGCATTGCGGCGATACTTGTTAACATACAAGAATCATGGTAAACAATGTGATATCAGTGTTTGTCGCCTACATCAATCTGTATTTCTGGCCGGAAAACGTTTTAAATATTGTGATATGGAACATAGTTGCTTCTCTTACATTGCGATTTCACGTTTTTTCCATTGTTTTCATGTCGTGGCTCTGAGCAAGATTCCAGGGCAGTGGGCTTTCGGAAGTGTGGAAGGCCCTGCCAGCGCGGCTCCTGCGGAAAGCCAGCCGGACGAAGCCATGACACCAACTTCTAAGCGAAGCAAGAGTGACTAAGATCAGAGCGACGAGAAAATTGTGCTGCTGTGATGCTTGGGTATTCTTGGGTGACCATGGCATCATGAGTGCCACATAGCAAGGACTGGAGACTATCCTAACAAAGATGTTGTGGTTCACTGGTTGCTTGCAACCAGATTCCATTCCACTTTGCATGCAGTTGCCAGCTTAGCAGCTCTAACCAGGATGCCTCAGCATCTTGACTAGCCTCATCCATTTGCAGCGAGCAACCTGAAAGATTGCCGCCGCAGTCCATTTTTCACTCAAGTCGTCCCTGCTTCCTCACTGAAGATGGCTCAGGCAATTGTCAGGTCCCCAGAAGAAACTGGGAAGTTTGTGTGCAGAGCATATCAGAAAGTGACATGCTAGCAAGATCGTCCGCAAAAAGACATCTTTCCAGAAGATCTCCCCAAATCCAGTAAGCCAGTAGGTCAGTTTCCCAAACTATAGGGGTCGTCTCTGTCATAAGAAATGTAATCATGAAGTCATCTACGGGCCATCCGCCAAAACAAAAACTATCGAAGTCCCGCTGCACTGGCCAAGGTGGTTGGCGGAGGCCTTGCTGGCGTGTCGGCCGCCAACAGTGTCCTTGAATGCGGTGGCAAGGCCGCTTGTGTAGTCTCGTAACTTTCGTAACGCTCACATCGACGTGCCGCTTGCTTCGGTGTTGACCAGGTGGTCCTGGTGGACAAGTCCGCCTTCTGTGGCGGCAACTCCACCAAGGCGCGCCCTGGAGCCGGGGATGCCGGACTAGGCGCAGAGTGGGGGGCCGACTGCATCGCAGGCCACCAGCGGGATCAATGGAGCCGAGACCTTGACCCAGAAGGCCCGTGTTTTTTTTTCTCATTGTGCAGTGTGACGCAATGACGCAATATGATGCCATGCGACGCAAATTCGATGCAAAATGGCATTCCATATGACCAAGGCCAAGAAGGTGGAGGACAGCGTGGAGCTCTTCACTTCCGACACGCTCAAGGGCGGCGCCAAGAAGCCTGAGCTGGTCAAGGCACCCGCGTGGCACCAACGAGGGCTGCGGTGTAGCAGAAATCTAACAGACACAGCAGACGCAGCGCGCGGCCGTGCGCGGGGGGGTGAGTTCGGGGGCCCTCTCAGAGCCTTGCGCTGGGGGAAGGTGCTGTGCGGTAACAGTGGGCCCGACGTCGATTGGCTGGTGGACAAGTTCGATCTGGACATGCACGAGACCCCAGAGAATCTGACGTGGGGGAGTTCGCCTTGGGATCATCTTGGAGATGCCGTTTCAGTACGTTTCGGTGCTTCCGATCTCTCTTAACATATCTCAAAATGGGTTTGATTTGAGGTCGCTGCTGGCCCGCCTCGGCGGACACTCCGCGCCGCGAACGCACCGCGGGAAGGAGCGCTTCCCAGGCGGGCCGCTCTTCGTGGCTGGCGGTCGTAGACATGCATGTGTGCAAAGCATGCAATGAGATTGCATGAGCCATGCAGCCATGCATGTGAGCGACTGGGCGCTCCTTGTGCGCTCGCAGCAAATTCGCGCTCACTTGCGTGTGGCTGCTTGTCACCAGACCGCCAACGGAAGGCATGACAATTACCTATGCCTTGATCCAGATGGTCGAGAAGATTGCCGAGCGAAGTGACCTTGCCAGGATCATCAACAAGGCCGACCGAGTGTCATGTCACCAGGGCCCGGAGTGTGTGAAAGTCTCCTTAAACAGCAGGATCCCCTACGACAGAGGTCTACCTGCTAGCTAGGAAACGAATGGAGGATGGGAGCACGGAACCTCCGAGGCAAAGGTGAAGCAGCTCGTGATGAAAAATGGCGCCGTCTGCGGCGTTGTTTGCGAGAAAAAAGGCCGGACGCATGTGTCACATCGGAACCCGAAGGTCCCTGAACCAAAGTGGCCAGATGTGGAGCAGATGTGCTGAACGCGTGCCGGCATGCAGGCAAGGACTTCACGGAGGAGGGCCCCGTGATCCTTGCCACTGGTGGCTTCGGGGCGGACTTCACAGAGGAGCGTGGGATCGCCTTGGTGTTGCATGTGTTGCGAAAGGTTCTGGTATTGTGTTAGTGGATGACTTCTTGTGAGGACTCGTTGCTCGCCAAGTACCGCCCGGACCTCTTGCACCTGCCCACCACGAACGGTGACCATACCACAGGCCCTCCCTGCCGCTTTGCCACATGTTTGTGCCCGACAACGCCAGCCGCAGTCCCTCCCGTGCCCTGCCGTGCCCTGCCGAGCCCTGCCGGTGCGGTGCCCTGCCCTGCCCTGCCGAGCCCTGCCGTGCCAATCCCGCCAAGATGTTGGAGGTGACGGCATCAAGATGGGCGAGGCGATCGGCGCCCGCTCCATCGACCTGGAATGGGTCCAGGCATGCAGCCTCGGTCGAGCACTTGCTCGTGCATTGGTCGTGCGCCGGCTGTGCCCGCATTCTCGGTATGCCAGCAATGCCAGCACGCTGGAGGTGCACCCTACCGGCCTGGTGGAGCCCGATGATCCTGAGGCCAAGATCAAGTTGCCTGGCCCAAATGGCCACGGCTGAAGGGGTGGCAGGTAGGCTTAGACATGTTTAGACATGCTTAGACATGCAGTCTGATAGCCGAGGTTCCTTGCTGCAGAGGCCCTGCGTGGAGTTGGCTGCTTGGATGCACACCAACGGACACCAAGATCTACCAAACGGTAGAAGGTGATCCCAAGCAGTGTTTTGGAGTACAGGCGGCCTGGTCATCAACGCGGCTGGAGAGCGGTTCTGCAACGAGCTGGGCCGCCGCGACTACGTGACGGGCTGCTGGGCCCCGAATACGGCAGTGTGAGGTTTCGCTGCAAAGCCAGGCAAAGCTAGAGGCTACTGCAAGGCTTGCCATCCCAACCCAACGCGTCCTGAGCAGCCCACCCCAGACTCTACAGTATTCTACAGTGATGTGTACCGCTGTACGGTATATGGATGTACACGGTATGAACGTCTGAGTCTACATATTCTGTAGACGGTCATGTTGCATTGTGTTGCAAGTGTATACATCGTGCTGTAAGGCGAGATGTGGAAGTCCAAGGCCCCATTCCGCCTGATCTTGAACAAGGCAGCCTCCGATGAGATTATCTGGCACTGCAAGCACTACACCGGCCGTGGGGTCATGAAGTTCTACAAGTCGGGCGAGGAGCTGTGCAAGGACATGGGCATCTCGCTCTCCACCCTTGAGGCTACCCACCAGCAGCACTTCGAGGCGGCTAAGAAGCAGGAGAAGGATCCCAACAACGGACCGTATCCGGCCTACCCCAGTGGCAAGACTTGGGACGAACCCAGCGGCAAGACAGGGGTGGGCAAGAAGTTCTTCCACAACTTGATCGAGGGCTCACAGGTGAAGACCGAGCCTTTCTACGCCCCTGGGCCCGCACTTACTGCCTGGCCTTGCCTGATGTTGCATGATGCGTTGCATGATGTTGCATGTTGCTGCATGCAGCTTCACTCGGCTTAAGACACGTGCGTGATGGGCTGGATGCGCCAGGTGGCCATCATCACCCCGGTGATCCACTATTGCATCTCTCGCAGATTCGAGCATCTTTGTTTCTTTGGGTGGGCTTTTTGTCCCTTGAAGATGATCTCAGCTCAGCGTGGTCTTGAATTCCCCAAATCCGCCGCAGGCATGGGCGGGCTCGAGATCGACGTGAACTCGAACTGCGTGGACAAGTCCGGCAAGGCCATCCCTGGCCTTTACGCAGCCGGCGAGGTGGCCGGCGGCGTGCACGGCAACAACCGCCTCGGCGGCAACTCCCTGCTGGACTGCGTGGTCTTCGGCCGCGTGGCCGGCAAGGCCTGCGCCAAGTACATGCTCGGCGACAAGACCAAGGACACGGATCTCAAGCAACTCTCGGGTGGAGGCCTGGCAGCGGACGCCCCAGCTTCCAAGCTTTAATTGCACCTTCGCATTGCACCTTCGCATGGCGCATCTTCCCTGGCCGCCTCCACATTTGAAGGGCGAAGTGGCTAAGTCAAAGTGGCGAAGCCACCTGCTTGGCGACTTTGGGTGACCTTTCCACCTGTCGCATGTGAGTAAGTCACAATCTCCTCCCAGTTTTCATGCCTCGCTTGGCCCAGTTCCATCAGAGCTCCGGTTTGCAGGTTACAGTTTGAGCTCTTGGCTTGGCCCTCCTTGGAACTTCGCTCTGCGAGTGCATCCTCTCGCGGAGTTGTCACGTGACCTCCGGTATGTGCGAGAGCTTGAGCCGCAGGATGTCCGAACCGCACCCAAAATGAGAGAAAAGAGGCACGCCAAGGATCGAAGCATCGAAACCGTTGTAGTTATGTCATCCAGGCATTGAGGGCTGCTGCAGCAAGGGCTTCATTCAGGCTTTCATGGATTTGTGCCTTGAGTTTTTCTTGTGCCCGATTCACCCGATGTCCTTGGGCCACAGCGCTTAGCTTTACTCGGAGCCGCCAGCTGCACGCGCTCCTAAGGCCCAGAGTACTCTTTCAGTGGATCATTCGTGATCATTGCTGGGTCAGTCTGGAACACCGGCACACCATTCTGGTTCTTCCACGAAGCTACTTTTGCTTGTTTCTGCTCATGGCATACTGGGCACCGCGTGCTGTTGAACAGGATGTCGCAGGCGATAGTCCTGAGCTCAGCACCTCTTACACCCTGCAGCTGAAGATGTTGTGTATGATGTTGTCATGCAGCGAACGAGGTTGTGGGAGGTGGCCTCGCTGGAGTCTCAGCGGCCAACAGCGTTCTGGAGTGCGGTGGCAAGGCGCTTCCTCCAGGGACGGGCGAGTTTTCGGTGCATGCTCAGGTAATGCTTCGCAGCACTCTAGAGAACACAACTATTGGTGGGTTTTTGGTTACTGGCAGCGGAAAAAAGGAGGCCCCCTCCTCCCCAAACCATTCGAGGGCACTATCCGAGCGGCTTATCAGGGAAGACGGAAGACCATCAGGCTTACATCGACGTGCCGCTTGCTTCGGTGTTGACCAGGTGGTCCTGGTGGACAAGTCCGCCTTCTGCGGCGGCAACTCCACCAAGGCGTGCCCTGGAGCCGGGGATGCCGGACTAGGCGCAGAGTGGGGGGCCGACTGCATCGCAGGCCACCAGCGGGATCAATGGAGCCGAGACCTTGACCCAGAAGGCCCGTGTTTTTTTTTTCTCATTGTGCAGTGTGACGCAATGACGCAATATGATGCCATGCGACGCAAATTCGATGCAAAATGGCATTCCATATGACCAAGGCCAAGAAGGTGGAGGACAGCGTGGAGCTCTTCACTTCCGACACGCTCAAGGGCGGCGCCAAGAAGCCTGAGCTGGTCAAGGCACCCGCGTGGCACCAACGAGGGCTGCGGTGTAGCAGAAATCTAGCAGACACAGCAGACGCAGCGCGCGGCCGTGCGCGGGGGGGTGAGTTCGGGGGCCCTCTCAGAGCCTTGCGCTGGGGGAAGGTGCTGTGCGGTAACAGTGGGCCCGACGTCGATTGGCTGGTGGACAAGTTCGATCTGGACATGCACGAGACCCCAGAGAATCTGACGTGGGGGAGTTCGTCTTGGGATCCTGTTGGAGATGCCGTTTCAGTACGTTTCAGTGCTTCCGATCTCTCTTAACATATCTCAAAATGGGTTTGATTTGAGGTCGCTGCTGGCCCGCCTCGGCGGACACTCCGCGCCGCGAACGCACCGCGGGAAGGAGCGCTTCCCAGGCGGGCCGCTCTTCGCGGCTGGCGGTCGTAGACATGCATGTGTGCAAAGCATGCAATGAGATTGCATGAGCCATGCAGCCATGCATGTGAGCGACTGGGCGCTCCTTGTGTGCTCGCAGCAAGCTCGCGCTCACTTGCGTGTGGCGGCTTGTCACCAGACCGCCAACGGAAGGCATGACAATTACCTATGCCTTGATCCAGATGGTCGAGAAGATTGCCGAGCGAAGTGACCTTGCCAGGATCATCAACAAGGCCGACCAAGTGTCATGTCACTAGGCACTAGGGGCTCTGATCAACAAGAAAGACCAAGCTTCATGTCACTAGGGGCGCTGAGTGTGTGGAAACAACAAGATTCTGCATATCCGGTACGCAGAGGCTTAACTAGGACACGATGGGAGGATGGGAGCACGGAACCTCCGAGGCAAAGGTGAAGCAGCTCATGGTGAACAATGGCGCAGTCTGCGGCGTTGTCTACGAGAAAAAAGGCCGGGACGCATGGGACTCCGAGTGGCCAGATGTTGTTGTCAGCTGCGTGCGGGCATGCAGGCAAGGACTTCAAAGAGGAGGGCCCTGTGATCCTTGCCACTGGTGGCTTCGGGGCGGACTTCACGGAGGAGCACACGTGGGATCGCCTTGGTGTTGCATGTGTTGCGAAAGGTTCTGGTCTTGTGTTAGGAGATGACTTCTTGTGAGGACTCGTTGCTGGCCAAGTACCGCCCGGACCTCTTGCACCTGCCCACCACGAACGGTGACCATACCACAGGCCCTCCCTGCCGCTTTGCCACATGTTTGTGCCCGACAACGCCAGCCGCAGTCCCTCCCGTGCCCTGCCCGTGCTCTGCCGTGCCCTGCCGGTGCCCTGCCGGTGCGGTGCCCTGCCCTTCCGTGCCTGCCGGTGCCGTGCCCAATCCCGCCAAGATGTTGGAGGTGACGGCATCAAGATGGGCGAGGCGATCGGCGCCCGCTCCATCGACCTGGAATGGGTCCAGGCATGCAGCCTCGGTCGAGCACTTGCTCATGCATTGGTCGGTATGCCAGCAATGCCAGCACGCTGGAGGTGCACCCTACCGGCCTGGTGGAGCCCGAGGATCCCGAGGCCAAGATCAAGTTGCCTGGCCCGAGTGGCCAAAGCTGAAGGGGTGGCAGGTAGGTTTAGACATGCCGTCTGATAGCCGAGGTTCCTTGCTGCAGAGGCCCTGCGTGGAGTTGGCTGCTTGGATGCACACCAAAAGGCTCCCAACACCTGCTTGGTACCCCCTTAGCGATCCCTACTCATAGTCTACGTGATCCCAGACGCATGTACCAAGCGGTACCATGTGGTCCCAAGCACTTGTAGCGTTTGGAGTACAGGCGGCCTGGTCATCAACGCGGCTGGAGAGCGGTTCTGCAACGAGCTGGGCCGCCGCGACTACGTGACGGGCTACTGGGCCCCGAATACGGCGGCGGGTGAATGCCATAGGTTTCGCGAGGTCAGTGTGAGGTTTCGCTGCAAAGCCAGGCTAGTAACTAGCGGCTAGTGCAGGGCTGAGCCAACGTGTCCTGAGCAGCCCACCCCAGACTCTACAGTATTCTACAGTGATGTGTACAGCTGTACGGTATATGGATGTACACGGTATAAACGTCTGAGTCTACATATTCTGTAGACGGTCATGTTGCATTGTGTTGCAAGTGTATACATCGTGCTGTAAGGCGAGATGTGGAAGTCCAAGGCCCCATTCCGCCTGATCTTGAACAAGGCAGCCTCCGATGAGATTATCTGGCACTGCAAGCACTACACCGGCCGTGGGGTCATGAAGTTCTACAAGTCGGGCGAGGAGCTGTGCAAGGACATGGGCATCTCGCTCTCCACCCTTGAGGCTACCCACCAGCAGCACTTCGAGGCGGCTAAGAAGCAGGAGAAGGATCCCAACAACGGACCGTATCCGGCCTACCCCAGTGGCAAGACTTGGGACGAACCCAGCGGCAAGACAGGGGTGGGCAAGAAGTTCTTCCACAACTTGATCGAAGGCTCACAGGTGAAGACCGAGCCTTTCTACGCCCCTGGGCCCGCGCTTACTGCCTGGCCTTGCCTGATGTTGCATGATGCGTTGCATGATGTTGCATGTTGCTGCATGCAGCTTCACTCGGCTTAAGACACGTGCGTGATGGGCTGGATGCGCCAGGTGGCCATCATCACCCCGGTGATCCACTATTGCATCTCTCGCAGATTCGAGCATCTTTGTTTCTTCGGGTGGGCGTTGTTTGTCCCTTGAAGATGACCCCAGCCCTGCGTGATTCGTAGAACATGGGTCTTGAATTTGCAGGCATGGGCGGGCTCGAGATCGATGTGAACTCGAACTGCGTGGACAAGTCCGGCAAGGCCATCCCTGGCCTTTACGCAGCCGGCGAGGTGGCCGGCGGCGTGCACGGCAACAACCGCCTCGGCGGCAACTCCCTGCTGGACTGTGTGGTCTTCGGCCGCGTGGCCGGCAAGGCCTGTGCCAAGTACATGCTCGGCGACAAGACCAAGAGCATGGACACCTGTCATCACAGAGGGACGTTCTTTCACGTGGTTGTTTGGCGATCGATGAATGATGAAATATGATGAATATGTTTCTGTATGTCTACCCTCTCGCTCTCTCTCGCCCTCTCCTTGTCTTTGCTTCTTCTTCTTTCGAGGACTTGAAGGAGCTCTCGGGTGGCGGCCTGGCCGCCGATGCGCCAGCCTCCAAGCTGTGAGGTGCGGAGCTGCGGAGCTCGAGAGCTCTCCCGCTGTTCGAGAAAGTCGCACGAAGATCCGTGAAATCTGTGAAGTCTGTGAGATCTGTGAATCTTGCAGGCGGGCGCAGATGGGACCTTTCGCACAATCTTGTCTCACGCAGAGGCGACGAGAGGATGAGACTGAAGGAACCTGCTGCAATTTTCCGCGGGCATGCGCTCCGTGCAAGAAGCCATGTGACGTCAACGTTCTCGTAGGGCCGGTCAACCAGACGACTCAGTGATCAGCATCCCGACATAGAGTGCCCAAAATGCGACAAAGACTGACATAGTTACAAGTTACAAGTTGCAAGGTTGAGCCAAGCTCCACGAGAGTCGGCGTGCCATAGCTGACGAGACCCACACAAGTTGTGCAGACAGCGAGAAAATATCTCACCGCTCGTGTTCTGGGGCTGCACCTGCCGTATTGCCTATGTGAAGAATCCTACAGATTCTTGAGGGACATGCAGCATAGCATGTGCAGACGAGATGTCACACAGTCTGGACTTGAGCTGTGTTGGTGATGCGACTTCGACATAGCTGCCTGGCGGTTTTCTTGAAGCCCCCTACTAGTATGTGATTGGATGATTCGGCTAGCGGACAAGGAGCTACTGTAGCTGCAGTTGCAGATTGGAGTGCTTGAGGCGCCAAACACAAGGATCCCACGACTCTCGCGTCAGCTATAACTTTCGGACTGAAAAAGACTTGAACGATCTTGAATGTCTTCACAAGTTCTAATCCTTGGTACTGGCTACGACTCGCAAATGATAGCCGACTGAAATTGGAGGTTTGCACGAGCGCTGCAAAAATGGCAAGAATGAAGCCCTTCCGTCCAACTACATGAGACTTTGATCGCTTGTGCCAGTTTGAGCCATTAAGATCAAAGACACGATGGGATCACCCTCATGAGCCCCGAGCTGCCTGGACCTCATTCGAATCTACTCCCGCCGTTCGCATGATGCAGTGTGAGGCATGGGTTGTTGGCAGTTCCTCCGAATTTGGCGTCCTGCTTTCTTACGATGGTCCTTTGTAAGTTCTGGCTCGGGTCGGGTATGGCGGCACACGTATGACGTTTGGGCCTCGTTTGGTATAATTCTTGTCGGTCGTTTTCTCGGTGTTGCTCCCAGGCCCCGCGCTCTACGCTGCGATGCGTTGCGCGGGGCTCCTGCTCTGGTGTCTTCTCGCGCTGCAGGCGCCGACTGACATCGACTCACATGTTTCTGGGCTCGCGTTGGACTGTTCAGGGCGTTTCTGGCCGCTAGCTAACATAGACCATGAACAAAAACAAGGTCACACGCGGGCTGGTGCGCCCTGCGTTTTTTGGGTTGCGTTGGGGTGTGCTCGAGTGCAAAAGTGCCGAAAACCCTAGGTGTTAGAGCAATTTCGGTTTTCGGAACCAGGAAGACACAGCACAGATTACTCGAAGGGCGGGCACTTTTTGGCGTTTCTGAGTGTTTCGTCAGGCGGGAGCCTTGTTTTGCAACGCAGGAAAACCAGACATTGGCACTGAGAAGGGGAGAGGATTGAGGGTTAATTAAGGGTTTAGAGTTCAGGGTTAAGAGTTCAGTGGTAGGGGTTCAGGGCTTCGGGTTAAGGGTTTAGAGTTAAGGGTATAGGGTTCAGGGTGCAGAGTGTAGTGGTAAGGGTTCAGGGCTTAGGGTTAAGGGTTTAGGGTTAAGGGTTTAGGGTCAGGGTTGGGGTGTGGGTTTAAGGTTCAGTAAGAGCTCAAAGGCCTAATGCCGTCGTCGTCACCAAGAATGGACGTTCCCACCCCCCCCCCCCCCCACATTCCCCCCCGCCCCCTTCCAACCCCGACAAACGCAGGGCGCACGAGACTGCGTGCAAACAAAAACAAGCCAAGAGGTGATTCTTCTTGATTGAGAGTTAATGTCTAGCTGGATGTGATGGTGCAGAAATGTGCAGAAAACGGTGAAAAGAGAGAACCGTCTTTCGTTATGACTTGCGCCATGACCTGCAAGGCGGCTGCTGTCGAGGTCGGCCGAGTGAAGCGTGAGCCTGTTGCCAGTCGAGAAGACAATTTGAGTAGAGCAGCGGAGCTCGAGCTGCCATCTGCTTCGGCAATCTGGAGTGTAGCAGATTGCCGCACTCTGGACATAGCAAAATCGTAGCAACGTGCTGCTGTGCTGAGCCGTCTCGGAATCTCGGGCCAGCGTTGGTAGGCACAGAGACAGTTTGAGAAGCAGCGATCCCTGGTGCAGGCAGGTGCAAGCATATGAGCTGCATGGCCAGATCGTGAATGACAAGCTATGACACAGACATGGGAGTGCACCAGGCACCTGCGAGTGCCGTCCAGCGGCGCACTGCATCTCCTGCACAGACCCTATCAATGGGGACCCTTCGACACCTGCCGCTTCTGCATTTTGCAGCAGGTGAGCACTGACGAAGAGGGCTGTTTGCTTGACGGCACAAATCAAGGTCGATGCCTTTGGCAACCCTGTGCCGGACAGCGTCGCGATACCGAACATCCCGCGGGTCCGTGGCCACAGCTGAACCAAGCATATCCAAGCATGTGAGGAATGTGGAGGAATGTGTATCAGTGTAGCAAATTGCATCAGTACAGTATCTGGGCGAAGTAATTGCCGGCGATTGGCCGAAGGCAAAACCTCCTGCGCGCGTGACCTCATCTGCAGGCAGGAGATGCTTTTCATAGGGCATGGGGCAACTCTAATGCGTGGAAGATCGTGGAAGGCCGCGAACAGCATGAACAGCACATCTATAGCTGGCGAGGGAAAAAGCAATGACAGCACCTGCATGGCACAGATTGCCTGGCCAGGGTATTTGGAACTCGAGCTTGCTGTGCCCTCAGAACTCTCGATGGCTCCAAACATACATTCAGCAGAATCATGGACACATACGGACACGGACACTGTGACGTGTCAATGTCCTATTTGGGCCGTCTGTGATGCAGAGCCATCCTGCTGAGGTTCTGGAGACAGTGGATCTCCTAGCCGAGTGCGAGGTGAGGGATGGGTTGTGAGCATGTGCACAAGCTGCTGTAATCTCACACAGTCTCAAAGCTCTATGCTGGAGAAAGACCAAGAGGTTTTCCGAAACGACGCGGACGAGACGGAGCCGTCCATATCATGCTTCAAGGGAGCATGTGTATCAGCCTCGACATTGCCAGACAAAGGTCCTGCAGAGTGCAAGGTGTAGAGCATGGAAGAGCAATGCGAAAGCCCAAGGTCACGTTGGTGAAGCTTGCAAGCGGGAGTCTGAGCACGTTGGGCAGCATGAGTCATTGACTGTCATGGCTCACGTCTCGGAAGATTGGAGAGCATGAGCAGAGTGGTCAGACCCGAGATCTCAGAGGCAGCAAGTTGGCCAAAACGTCAGATGCAGGTTTGAAGGTGGATGCCAGCTACACGTTCACAACACATTCTGTTCGGAAGGTTACGCCGGGCCCCAAGAGGAGTCACGACACAGCAGAGTTGGGATTCCTGTTCGATTCCTGTTCCCTCCGGTAGTTCTATCAAACAAAGGCTGCTGCTTTGCGCATGTTGTTGAAGCAAGCACCTTCGGTGGAGGGTTCACCCTGGCACATCCCAGGGTGGTCAACAGCTGAAGCTGGATTTCTTTTGTTCCTTTCCGTTCTCTCCTCGTTAAGCAGGACCAGCAGGTTTGGATTCAAGTGAACGGAATGCGGGAGCGTTCGGCCTTGAGGTTGTTGCAGCAGGCTGGGATGTGTCAAAGAACGCTGCGCTTCGTGAAGGAAGTTTATCACTAGCAGAGGATGAAGATCTTGTGTGCAGATACTCTGTGCTTCTTTCTGTGTTGGTTTCCGTGCTTCTTTCTGTGCTTCCTTTCTTTACTTTAGACACAGAAAGTGTTGATGCAGCGCTGCCAAGGGACGGCGTGACTGGCCAGGTCTTCGAGTTTCACGGGCCTCGTCGGCGCCACAGCTAACGCACAGAATGCACAGGCGTCAATCAAGCAAGAGTGATTACATTGGTCCCGATGACCTTGCAGGGAGTCACCCTATCACCTTTGTGACGGCTGGTTTACCTGACTGGCAATTGGTCAGCATCTTATTTTTTCTTGCTGTCGAACACACAGCAAGCCAGCAAGTCAGTTTCTTATTACCACCGCCGTGAGCTCATGGAAGTCAACGTGTCCGCAGGCCATCCCCGAGACTACGTCTCTGGGATCCATTGTTATGCGCTTATCCTGGGAGGCAAGATACTGGTGCTGGATCGAATCGGAGTGGTGGGTACCGGTAGCACGTAACTATGTGCACGTGTCTGCCCGTCTGTCTTTTCTCTCTCTCTCTGTCTCGCTCTCTCTCCCTCTCTTCAAATCTCCATCTCTCTGTCTCTCTGTCTCTCTGTCTCTCTGTCTCTCTGTCTCTCTGTCTCTCTGTCTCTCTGTCTCTCTGTCTCTCTGTCTCTCTGTCTCTCTGTCTCTCTGTCTCTCTGTCTCCCTGTCTCCCTGTCTCCCTGTCTCCCTGTCTCCCTGTCTCCCTGTCTCCCTGTCTCCCTGTCTCCCTGTCTCCCTGTCTCCCTGTCTCCCTGTCTCCCTGTCTCCCTGTCTCCCTGTCTCCCTGTCTCCCTGTCTCCCTGTCTCCCTGTCCTCCCTGTCCTCCTGTCTCCCTGTCTCCCTGTCTCCCTGTCTCCCTGTCTCCCTGTCTCCCTGTCTCTGTCTGTCTCTCTGTCTCTCTGTCTCCCTGTCTCTCTGTCTCCCTGTCTCCCTGTCTCCCGTCTCCCTGTCTCCTGTCTCCTGTCTCCCTGTCTCCTCCCTGTCCTGTCTCCCTGTCTCCCTGTTCCCTCCCTCTCTCCCTGTCTCCCT